TTTGAACCTAGGATATTTTGGACTTGTCATTAAACTTATAAAGATAACAAAAAAAAAAAAAAAAAAAAAAGGAAGGAAAGAAAGAAAGCGAAGGAAAAGACGCTGCCTCCTTATCTGAACGGCGCGTGAGGGCAGGGGTGCACCTGACGTCCTTCACTACAGCCGTTGCCACGGACAACCGCTTCGTTGTCACCATGCGTTGCACTCCTGAAAATCACGTAGGTTGAACTTTTTATGTCGTTTCGTTGTGTAATTTATATAAACTGAGATATAATGTAAACTCTTGTCATGGTCACGGGTTTACAGTGAGTGACGCTGAAGTTAATGGACTCTAAAGGCTGCAGGAAGCTGTAAGCTAACCTTCATCTGAGACGAAAGAGACCGAGCGAAGGCGGTAAAGTATGCTAATAATTAATTTGTAATATTTATAGGCCTGTTACACATTTTGGGGAAATTGCCGTGCAAAACTGAAATCAAATTTTTGTACTCAAATTTGAGCCGGCTGCCTTTCATGAATAATTGGGACTAAATGCTGGCTGTTTCTGGGTACGAACCTGAGCCAGAAAGACCTACCGTACTCTGGCAAAGGCGGGGTGGGGGCGGCGGGCATTGTCCTGCTGAAACAGCCACATGGCAGGGCGATGGCACACGTACAGGTTGGACCACCTCTCTCCAGTTAGATTTCCTTCAAGAACAATTAGATAAGTAATTCATCCCTTGTGTATCTTGACATTTGACAATGCAACTCAGTTGCTTACTTACTGTGCTTTTGTTTAATAAGGATATCTCTCAGTAATCTCTGATTTGTTTGCAGGGCTGTGATAATTCTGAAACCAACACCACAAACTGCAAGAAAAACATCAGTTATATCATCTCCCAATTCCAGCTGCACATACCACACTGATATCTGTGTCAGGGTGTACTGGTCAGGTGAATAGTTTTCTCAAAAATGATTTAGGTATTTAGTGAACTGAAAATATGTACATAACAGTAACAATTAAGGAGTCTATTTTTTGTTCATGTTCCATGTCATAATCAAGGGATCAAGCTTGTAAGAAAAAGTTTCATTCATTCATTAATTCATCTACTTCAGTGCGAACCAAAACATATTTTCTTTGGAAATTGTTACACTCGTATTAGTGTTTCAAATCTGCTTATTAAAGGTTATTGAGATCAAGGTATTGGTCAGCTTTTGTTTCTGTTACTTAAAATTAGTGTCATTAAGATGTAGTCAAGCATCTTGCTCTAGATTGTTTGCTTGGCATTTTTTTCAGGGAATAAATAAGTAAGAATATTTTTAGTTTTATACCTGTTTCATAAACATGTGTCAAAGGACAAATTCATGCTACACAATGATACACAAAGGACAGTGTATCATTAAAGTGTTGGGCCATCTTTCCATGAACACATCAGGCCTGTATATTGATTCTCTGCTTTTCCTCTGTGCTACTTGAAGGCTGAAAACCTTTCTAACAAAGGATATTCTCTCATTTGGTTGTCTGATGAGGGTAGTGGAGAGCTCTATCTAAAACCTTCCATCTTGCTTTAGATCTGTGAATCATATTGTCCTCATCAAACCATTCAGCGAGCCTCTGTGCACTGTGGATGAGGCATTTTCATCAGGATAGAAATGTTACATCACAGGATAAACTTGATTACACAGAACAGTTTGGATTTGCAGCAACTCTTTCTTTCAAAGAGAAAAGTGGAGCCAGACCTTGGTGTCAAACCCCCTTGCATAAGAAAACTGCCTGATCCACTCAGCATAGCGGTCAAGCAAGGGATTGGGCTAGGATTGTGATAAGATGCTTCCTCACAATTACACATTTCCATGTAAAATGTATCATCATTTGTCTTGATGCATGCTCAATCATCCAGGTAAGAAAATCCCAAAAGGTTTTGGCGTAGCTTCATTTGCTGTTTTCTTTCAGTGTTTTCCAGGGAAACTATTCCAGCAAAGTCTGACCCAAAAGGCAACATGTCAGAGAAGAGTGTTTGTAACCCAACCTGTGATGACGAAAACATTTCAGAGAAAGAACAGAAAGAAGTCCTCGTCTTTGAGACTGAACTGTTGTCCAGCACCGATTCATATGAGGATATTAAAGTGCAAACAGATGACAGTGCCTACTACGTCACATGGACAGTTTACATAGCTCTAGCCGTTCCACAGGGTAAGATGGTCCACAGAACATATAAATAATTATTATTAGCTCTGTTTAGATGGTCAGAGTGAGACGGTTGAATTTGACAGGCTCTACATATCTGCTGTAATGTAATAGTGTTTTGATTCTAAATCTCATTCCTGCACATTTGGCCTCTTGCAGGGGAAGTCAGTGCTCCTGAAGATTCTGAGAAAGCAATGAAAACAAAGAATGTGTCGGTCTACAAAGCTCAGAGCTGCTATCATATTGAATACAAATTGTTGCCAGGTGATACTGAGACGGTTAAAGTGGACATACTAGTATTTGGGCCGGCAGCAAAAATATACAGAGAAGACGAGTGCAAGGTAAATAGGATCCTCTTTGTTTGTGTATGTGTGTGTGTGACATTAATGAACAATTCATGAACATCATAAGTGGATGGGAGTATCTCGTGGTGTAGAGTTACGGTAAATAGTTGACTGCTCAGGCTGCTGTTGAATACAACTTTGAGTTTGTCTAATGCAAAAATAAATGTGAACAGATTCTAAGAACGTGGCTTGAGGGAGATCAGATTTGGGTTGGCTGGGCCCAGAAGTTTAACATCGGACTCAACAGGGATGTGCTCATCAGTCTTCTACCTCATAAGATCAGGCTTCAGATTTGGAACACTAAGGATAAACTGTGCAGCCAAGCCCGCTACGAAAGAGTCAGAGCCTTCAGACTGTCACAGGAGCTGTCTGAGGATGAAACAGAGTGCGGTGAGCATCCATTTCCAATTTTCTTAAAAATGATCAAAATATTACACCTGTTCAGCATAAAAAGAGTTTTCAGCTTCCTGTCTGAACCATGAAGTAATCGCCAGAAAATTATATCCATTCATTTTCTTCCGCTTATCCTTATTGGGGTCGCAGGGGGCTGGAGCCTACCTCAGCTATCATAGATCGAGAGGCAGGGTACAGCCTGGACAGATTTGCTGTCTCTAGCACAAAGAGACTGGCAACCATTCACACCCATTGGCAATTTATAATCACAAAAACCCATGTATCAAATATGACACACTTGTCTTTAGAGGGATAGAAATGCTTTAACCAGTTTGATTTACAAGGGCTTCAATTGACTCAAGAATCAAATGGCCAGAAATTACAGGGGCATACAGAGACATCTGTTAAGTAAGGAAACACAGTCTCTGTGATTAGTCACCATCCAAAGCCCGGAAACCCGGTGTGAGCCAGGAAAAACCCTCCTATTGTGTTATGGAATTATGAACCTTATATTTTTACTCAGGTTGTATTGAGACGATGGTGAACAAGCTGAGGAGCCTGTGTGAAAATACGACACACACATCTAAAAGACAAAGAAGCAATTTTTGTGTTGATCTCAGTCCAGATGTGGGACCAGAAACGGGTATGTGCATTACAACAATGAATATTTTATGTATATCAGTGTGTCATACTTTTATACTTCTTAATGAATACATTTTTTCAAACTTAAAACAGGTTTTGAAAAAACCACGAGTGATTATCATGACCTCGAGGCCATCAGAGATAGTGGCACTGCATCATTTGAAATCAGCCCTGTTTGTTTGTTGGCAGGTGAGTCAATCTCATAATCACGGGCACAGCCTGGACCAGTGCTGGTCAGCAGAAAACAAAGCACTGTTCCTATTTTCTTATGTAAGCTTGTATTTTCTGACTGTCAGGTGAGAACTCACTGACTGAGAACATCCCAGTCTGTTCTTCTGGGGTTTTTGAGATCATCTTCAACATTTCTCTGGATGAACCACTGATGTCAGACCAACTGAAGGCTGAACTCAATCCACTTGTTATCACAATTTTGTCAGCCACTTCACTGCCTTCATCGTCAGTGCCTTTTCACATCCTACAGGTGGGATGTACACATCGTTTTAGTTTTGACACCTTTCTATGTGTTCAATTAATTTCTTACCCAGTCTGCCCTTTCTGGTAGTGGGCAGTGGTTTCAACTTTCAGCTCTGAGTCATTTTCTGGATGATTTCTTTTTCAGGAGAAATGTATGCCCGTTTATTGCCAGTATAAGTTCCATAATTTAAATGAACACAGGACAAACTATCACAAGCAGGACACCAACATCTACTTCAGAGATGTGAATGTAATCTTGACTGGTTTGATGAGTCGTAAAGAGCTATACGAGTTCCTATCCGGTCCACCTCTGGAGATAGAGGTTCATGATCGTGACCAGAAATCGGAAGCGCTGAAAACCCAGACACTTGGGACTGCATCAGAGCATGACATCCAGTTCGGTGGATCGGTATTACAGCAGAAGTCTTCAGCCATTAATCCTCATGGTATTGCAAAACTAAACCTCTCTGAGCTACTGCTGGGGAAGAAAAGTCTAAAGGTGTGCTTGCCAGTTAAATGCAGCCCTTTGCTACTGGACAGGGAGCGAAGCCCACACAAGAGGAAGATGTCAGAGAAGCCAATGCCACAAGGCCATTATTACGCTGCCAATTCTCAACTCAAAGTCAAAGTCGAGATAACTTGCCCATTCAGTGTTCAGAATGACAGCTGTGATGAGGACTCCTGTAAGGGTCCGTTTGGCCGCATTGTCTACCTCTTTGGATACAGCAACTCCTCTGCGATGACCAAGCTGAGGTCGGAGATACTGCAAATCAATGCGGCAGCTTTCCATCTGGGCTCACGCTCAGTGGAAAACATAGAGACAGCCCTGTCAAATTACCAAATGAATTTTGAGCACAGTGAGACCAAGGATCTGGATTTTGTTTCAGGGTTTCATGTGATAGATAAGAAGACCCACATCTTTGTCCTTGAAGGGCTCAAACAAAAAACAGTGAAGAGACTCTGGGAAGCCATTCCTATGAAGTAAGCCAACCCGTGCTGTCTTGTCCCAACAGCCGGTGTTAACAATTTTCACCTGTGCTGCCTGCTGGATAAAGTGTTGAGATTCCATTGAGGGTGCTGTAGTTTGTGTGATGTTTTGCAGGCTACGTGGGAGTGAGGAGGAGCAGGTGACAGTGCTATATAATTCAAACCTGGTTTTCTTCAGACGCATCTATGACTCACTAGACATGAGCCTGAGTCCTATCCATCTGAGTCAGTCACTAGAGACCATCATGAAAAAGTCTCAGATCTACGTTAGAGGCACGATCCCCCAACCCTGCTTTCAGGCTTTGTCAAGGTAGCTGAATTAGACATATTTATTTTAAGTGAATAATGGTGGTGGGAGGATGAGCCAGAACAACCGTAGCTTTCGATTTGACGTGTTTTTTGGAAACCACATTGCTACTTGGTGTGTGTAACTCCAAAGCTCAGTCCCTTTTTAAATATGATTTGGTCTTCACCAGCTTCTATTTATATCCAGCCCTTAAGTTAAAGTTAACTGCTGTTCTCTATTCATCAGGTAGTCCCCAACTGTTTTGTTCTACAATCTGGAGCCTACATTTAATAAAGTAAAGGGTTGCCAGTAAAGACAACTGCACCTGAAAATCAGAGTTAATGGGAGTAAACAGAAAAAGAGCAAAGAAAGGTGCAAGCTGTTAAACCAGAACAATGAGCTGACAGCTAGCAAAAATTTGCCTATGTCTTATTGAGAGGTTCACATTAACTGACTGCTTCCACCTTATACTGGATATTTGGCATTTTTTTGTTCTTTTGTTTTGTTTTACATTTTATGTATACAGTGACTGTGTGGTGTACTCAGTTTCAGAGTCAGATTCACTTCTTGCTAACCAAGTTGATCTGAAAAGACTCTAGTCTTTGGTTAGTTGGCTAGTAAAGGACCCTTGGATCAAAATGAATATGTCAAATATAAAACAAACAATTCGGTATAAAATGTATAAATTATGTAATTTATCCTTTTTCTTAGGTTAAGCCAGCTTTGTCAAGTGAAGCAGCTTAAAGAGGTGGTGGAGTACAACCTGTTCCCCTCAGCTGACATGATTCTCAGCTTGAGCAGTGTATTTGGTTTATATGCTGAGAAGAGGGAGCAAAAGGTTCGGGCAAACACTGAAGGGAGCATTCCCACTCTGCCTATCAGGATGAAAAGACATGGGCCCATCAGCACACATAACACAGAGTACATCACATGGAAACAGAACAGGCCTCTCCAGCAGCTGAAAGACTTTGTTCAGGTTTGTGATATCCTATAGTACTATACACTTACTTGAAGCGTTTTATTAACAGATCCAGTCATGTGTATCATTATATTCCAGGAAAATATTAAAAAGGTGCAAGAGCAGAGAGAGCAGTTGCAGAAGCCAGAGGCTGCAGTGTTAAGGATAGACATGGCTGCAGGAAGAACAGCACACAACTACAGCATCCAGACCTTCAACTCAAATGAGCGAGCTAGGGAACTGCTCTGCAAAGAGATGGCCAAGGTGTGTGTAGCATGCTGTCTCTAACATATCAGAGTATAGTATGGTACCAAGAAAGTACCATTGTAAGGTGTTCTTACAATGCCATTGTAAGAAAGCCCTCTGTCTGTACAATCTCATGGATTTGACCAGCTTTTCCAGTTACATCACAAAGACATAAAATATTGTCATTAACATTGGGTTTTTCTCTTCTTCCACCACTGCTCTCTCATTAAAAGAGTCATTTAAAAATAACTTATGAGGTGTGCTACACATGTGGCCGATTATTAGCCTTATACATAAAATGTGATTAGGCGGAATCGTGCTATCCACCTCGGCCGCTGTATTCCAGATGGCGGGGATCCAACCAGCACCTGCACCTGTGTATTTTTAATGGAATAAATGTAATTACACACAAACCTAATCAATGTATATTTATGAGTACAACATTTTTTTTCTATTAAATAACCTCAAGAATGACTTAGTGTATCTTTAAATGTATTTTTCAACCTTTTCTGACACACGGTGTCATTCTAGCTTGCAGAATAGTCTATACATAATGAACATAATGAAGCTAAGTAATTTTTCTGACTGCCTCAGGTGCCTGGGCGCAGGTTTACCTACAGTCAACGGTATAACAGTGCAACAGTGGACCCAGGAGACATTCCATGGAAAACCAATGCTAGATCTTCTTCTACATCTACATTTTGGAATATTAGCACGAGCAAGTCCAAAGTGCACCCTAACCACCCAGATGAAGCTCGTGTGGAAGAGCTGAGAAAGGTAAATTTCATTTGCAAGTACTGTGCAACAGAAGAGAAATAGGTTTATTGGTATTACTATGAATACACATGGGACAAGGATGACCATGACCATGAGCCAGTATGTTTAGGTTAGGTATAGAATAGCATGTAATATGACATGACTAATAATATTAGCCCTTCTGTTGCTTCAGTTGTCGTGAGCACACAATTATTTATTATCCAATGGCAGTAAGAAAACATTTGTAAGTTCTTTGAAACATCTGCCTAATCTTCAAAGGTTATGTGATGATAGTGTTTTGTAGTTGATAATTCAGTGTGCTTCCAGCCGTGGAGGGAGAACATCCTACATGCCAACACACTGAAACCCACACTTTCACGCGACACATGGCCCTGGACTCAACACTCGGAGGACTTTGAGCTCTACAGGAAACCTCCCCGGTTCTTCAGCACCTCTCCCGTGACCATCTACCTGGCTGGTATGGACACAATTAAGGAACTTAATAGCTGAAGTGCAGGATCTTTAAGTGCCTTTTTATGCTTATTTACCCTCTGAAGAGTCCAAAGCACAACAAGGTTCCTCTGAATGTCTGAACTTTGCCTGCAGTCCCAGTATCATTAAATCTTTCTCCATCATTAAGACCATACACAAACAAACTTAATGTGTTGGCAGATGTAGTATTTAAAAATGACAGGAGAAAAAAATCTAGCATATTTGACCAATCACTGTAGATTCAGTGCATCATCAGAGTTCCTGGGGCCCGTTCTTCGTACGTCGCTTACTACATCCAAGATCAAATGACACATCCAAGATCAAATCATCGCGCTAACCGTGAGCTCGCTAATCCGGTTCCCCGAACACACCTGCTGTTGACGATTACTACAGCTGGATGAAGTAATGTGCGATCACTGGGTGTCGTAAAAGGGGCTACGCATCGATAGCAGAAACAGTGATCGGCAAGCCTCTGATTGGTCGGCGAAAATGTCGAAGGGGCGTGCTCGGTATTTTCCGGCAGCAGAGCAAGAACTCATGAGTGCGGGATTTCAGGAGTTTCAGAGTTCAATTAAAACGCAAGGGAACACTGCAAAGGCTGCAAAAGCAAGGAGAGAGGGCTGGCAGAAAGTTGCTGACAAATCAAACTCGTAAGTAATGTAATAATAACAATAATAATGGAGTGGGTTTATATAGCGCTTTTCAAGGCACCCAAAGCGCATGACAATACCACTATTCAGTCACTTTATCATTTAGCCTATTTATAGATTTATTATATTACACTATATTATCCAATATTATATTACATTATATTATATTGTCATATATCCCCTTTCACATTAGAGCCACAACAGGACCCACTAGAACATGGGAACAAGTAAAAGTGAAATATAAGAATATTCTACAGAATGGTAATATTTATCACTTATATTGCTTTTCGTCTCTTGGAAAGAGACCCTGAAATAATCTGTTAGTTTGTTCATAACAGCAACCAAGAAAAGGGCAGAGCAAAAAAAGACAGGTGGTGGTCCTGCACCCCCTCGTCAACATGTTGGTTAAGTGAATAATACCCTCACGGGAATATCGATATCTCTCTATGAGCACACTGTCGCGCTGAGCTAAAGGATCCTGTCTGTCCCGCAATATACGCTGAATTCTGAGGACTCTCCTTATCAATCTTGCACCTTCCGCAATGGGTGGCTCGCGTATACGGACAGGACATGGCTGTGACAGGCTTCCCAAATCCACCTTCGCTTTTATAGCCGTGGTCTCTCATCTTGATTACACGAAGTAATTTACAATTGCTACTCTGAAATATGGATTACATCTGTAATAATCACATACATGTAATAGAATGTTAATAGTACATTTCCCTTTTTTAGGAAATGACCTGTATGTATCTGTGTGACATCAATAACAGGATCAAGTGCTGCATTATCTTTAGTTACATTGATGTTATTTATTTGTGGTGAAACGGTGGCGGAATGTCGCTGTTGCTTTCGTATGATGACGCGGACATACCTGCGTGGCCGCGATCTAATCCTGTTTACATAAAGTAAACCTGCTCCCGAGCAGGTTTACGCTTACGGCTCTGTTGCTATGACAGCAAGTCCCGGATGAGCTTCGGGGAACCGAACGATCCAGGATCACGCGAAATCGTCAACAATCTAATCCAGCTAACTTACTTAGCGAGGTACGAAGAACGGGCCCCTGAACTCTTGGAAAGCACAACCTCACTGTACACACTTTCGTGTGTGGCAAGTCTATGTGAATCTTTTTGTTTAGACTCTGGTTCCTCAAATGGAAATCCAGATTTACTAAAGTGTAAAACCAACGTTTAGGGTTGAACATTTATTGTCAGGATTTACTAAAGAGGCGCCGTGTCAAGTTTGTAAATGAAAAGCATGGACAGAGGTGTGTTTGTGGCTGGCCTCACTGTCTTTATTGCAGATGTGTCTTCAGAGAAGTGGCACTTAATGTACATTTCTTACTCTTTTCTGTAGTACTATATCTATTACACAGTACTGTGCAAAAGTCTTGAGCTGCTTGAGAAGCAAAACATGTTCAAATATACATGGAAATACTTTATATGAGCCAAAAACAGACATTTCTCATCCACTTGGAAGTCAGTATTTTGTATGACCACCTTTATTCTTCAGCACAGCCTGAACTCTGTGAGGCAAAGTATTGTAGACAATATTAAGATGTATGTAAATTTTAGCAATTAAAAGGACAGATCTGAAGTGTGTAGATTAATGACTGAATCTTACTAAAAATGTAATATGCAGCCTCACGTGGCATATCAGACAAACAACATTCAAAAAAGTAAAAAGCTGCCCCAACCCTCTAAGACCATATACAGTTGCTGATATTTCAAATGAAAGAGTTTATCTTTATATGAAAACACAAATTGTCCTTTAGCTCGCACTGTTATGAAATGCTTTGCTGCAGGATGGTAGAAATGAATGAATGGTCATAATTGAAACGATGTGGTTACATCTGTGTTTTATTCGATGACTGCAGCATCATCTGGAACTTAGTGTTCGTACCTGAGGATTTTTATTGCATTCATCTTACTAGTATTGTGGAGTTCATCGAGAAACAGACAAAATCCATGATCTGCACTAAAGTAGTTACAGTTGCAAGAAAAAGCTCACAAACCCATCAGCAATTGTGTAAATATACAATTTCCAAGTAGAGATAATTATACTTGTTCCTTTTTTCAAGTATAACTGGGATAGCTGTAGCAGCAGGTCATCTATTAATTGAGCGGTTGATGGTTCAATCCCTGGAAGTACTTCAGACCCCCAAGTTGCTCTTTGATGTGTCAGCTTTAGAGAGACAGGGCTTAATCTGAGAATCTGGCGTTTCTGGCAAAACACAGTTATATTTAAAAGTCAATTCAGAATGTAATGAATCGATATCGCTTTATTCAAGCTACTCACCTCCCACTTCCACCTGCACTTTCAACTGGACCACGGCCAATCAGAGAGGTCCCGCCCCTGACTATCTCTGATTGGTTTAGTCCACGATAGGGGCAAAATGTGTGTCTGTTGTTGACCACAGGGAAGGTTGCAGATTTTTTTATTTTTTTTGCTACCCGAACAGTTGGTCGCACAGGTGCAACCAAATATTTGCACCCATGGCAAAAAGTTAGTCTAGAGCCCTGCTATCACATTCTTACTCAACTGAACAGAACAGAACTTTAGATTCAACATCTTGCCCAAGAATATTTGGCAGACTGGAGTAGCAAAGAGTTGAACCACCATCTCTCTGATTAGCAGATGACTTGTTCTAACTGCTGAGCTACAGCCTCCCCACAACACATCAGTTTGTTGTGCATGGGGCCGCAGAGCAGTCAGGGTGCCCACGCTGAATCTTGTAACAATGGGCATGTGAGGATCAGAACTGGACCACGGAGCAATGGAAGAAGGTGTCCTGGTGTGATTAATTGTGTTTTCTTTCATATCACGTGGATGGCTGGGTGCATGTGCATTGGTTACTTGGGTAACACCTGGCACAAGGATGCATGATAGGAAGAAAGCAAGTCAATGGAGGCAGTGTGATGCTTTGGACAATGTTCTGCTGGGAAACCTTGGGTCCTCCTTCACCCATGTGGATGCTACTTTAACATGTGTCGCCTACTTAAGCATTGCTGCAGACCATAATCCACCCTGCCACAAAGAAAAAATGATTCAGGAATAGTTTTTGAGTCACAACAATGAGTTTGAGCTCTTGACTTAACCTTCCCCAGATCCTTTGTGAACATCTTGGCTCAGATACCACAGCACACCTTCAGGTGTGTAATGGATTTGATGATGGGTCAGCAAAAGGGGGGGACCAACACAATACTAGGCAGGTGCTCATAATGTTGTGCCTTACTGGTATCTGACCGAGAGTAGTTTATCTATTTTATTTGTGTAAGAGGGTCCTTTTTGACCTTTCAGAAAGGTGAAAAATCCCACAATTCTTTAGTTCACAAGTGATGCAGACACTAACTCAGTATACAAGCATGTCATGAAACCACAAGGTTTCATTTAAAGCTGTACTGCTGACGTAGTGCTACATTGATTTTCCTGATTCTGATCAAAACAAAGCACCCAAGAATTAGTTTAAGGAAAAAAGTATGTAGTAAGTGACCTATTTACATGAACATAATAATGATTAAATATTAATTTTTTTATATTAGTTGGAAATTAGACACAGTGGTTCCAGTGGATGATGTATCCCGGCATGCCAGCAGGTTGTCAGACAGAAATAAACAAACGCCAAATGAAAGCAGTTAACAAAAACCACAACACAGCACTCCAATAAGGTTTTAAACATTCACAACAGAGGGCAACATCTTTAATGCATTTTCAAGAGACAGTTTTCCTTTCAGATGTAACTCCACCATGGAACTATTTTCCTGTGGCACAAAGGCAGATCTGTGATCTGTCCAACTAACAAAAAACATATTTCTTAGATTTCAGCACTATGACATGAGTTATGATCTCGAGTGAGTTACATGTTTGGTAACATTTAATGAGACATACGGTGTGCTTACATTTCATGTATGTGTTTTGTTCAGGGACACTGTGAATTAGATATGTAAGTGCAGATCAGGGATAGCTCCCCTACTTCAAATACATATGTCCAAAAATGCCTTAATATTAAGTGAGACAGAGAAACACATTGTCAGAAGACAATATGAAGTTTAGTTGAATTCACAAAAGTGCATGTAATAATGTCACAGTTTGGGCCTCTTGTTGTAATTCTGATGGGGTTGAAATGTTGTCTTTTTCAGTCTGTCAAGTCTTCAGTGGAGCTGTGATGCACTTTTACTTTTCTCCACTCACGAACTGTTTGTCTGCAACTTTATTGCAGTTTGTCTGCAACTTCATGAGAAGACTAGGCTCAGCTTCATTTTTAAAAGCAGACAAAACTGGACAAAAACATGGGAGCATACATCATGTGACAGTTACAGCCTATAGTCTCAAAGCCAACATCTAGCAAAGCACAGAATATCTAAGAGTGGATTTTCCTATGTCTGTCTACGCTGCAAGCTTTTTCACTGTACTAAAGGCCAGTATTGATCCATTTTGATTGAAGCTCCAGATGGCAGATATTTAAGCCAGTAGAAGTCTTTGCTGCTGAGTAACACACTCCCAGACTGAGCTGGAGAATAAATTTGGTCGGGCAGAAGCTTAATTGATCTCAGCAGTGTACAGAGTTACTCGTTAATGTGTGCCATGTTATATTTTTCCAACTCTGTTGTAAGCTAAAACCACACCACGCCTGTTAAGTTTATCAGCTGTATGAAGTTTACAGGATGAACTCTTTGGAGTTGTTGATCCACAGAGTTAAGCGTGTGCGCTGTTGATCCTCAGGAGATCGTCTACAGCAGGAGCAGCTCCAAGCAGCCAGAGCTCAGTACAGCCGCTGGAAGAAGCAGCTGCTTCCTGACGGCAGCAACGTTAACTCAGCAGACAACAGCCCCGTCCAACAATTCAAGTGTCACATGAAAGGAAACCTGGAGAGAACTCAGGATATACTGAAAGATCTGCCAAAGAAATATTCACTGAGGAAACCAGGCATGATACTTAAGGTACAGCATTTCCACTCATTCCAAGTGGCACTCAGAATTCAGTACAAAAGAGTACAGCTCAACAACATGAAAAGCCTTCAGAATAACCATGCAGACAACTAAAACTGATCATTAAGGGAAAGTTAAGGTCAGAACTCTTGTATGTGACTGGATTAGCTTAAGCTAGAGGCACTTAACAAACGAGCAGCTAGGTGTGTTTATTCATGACTATAAAGTGTTTTATTTATTTCACAGACCTGCATTTGTGTTTATTCAAGGGTTACAATAATATTCTCATGACAAATGGCTTGATAATCAAGATTTTTTTTATTATTATTGGATAAATCTTTCATATATTACATGGTTCGGTTTCAAATAGCATAGACTGTATATAAAACTGTGAAGTCACCTGTGTCAAAGATGCATTTTTTTTTTTTTTTTGTGGGACCCTGAAGTCGCCATACCAGACAAGAGGCTGAGATTATCAGTTAATGCTTGGTCAGCAACACAAAACTGTACAGGTGTAATACATGAACACTCAATGAATCCAATATTAATAAAATACTTTTAATATTTAATATAATTCCTAGAGTATTTAAAAGTAGAATGGGAGGCAGAGCCTTCAGTTTTCAGGCCCCTCTTCTATGGAACCAGCTTCCAGTTTGGAATTAAGGTATTTTTTAACTTTTAAGTTTAGGGTTAAAACTTTCCTTTTTGCTAAAGCATATAGTTTGGGCTGGATCAGGTGACCCTATAGGTGTATCTTGCTGGGGGATTCCCACAATTGAGTATTTCTTCTTCAGTCACCTTTCTCACTCACTGTGTGTCTATTGACACATAGTCTCTTCCTGTTAAAAGGGAGTTTTTCCTTCCCACTGTCGCCAAAGTGCTTGCTCATAGGGGCTCATAGGATTGTTGGGTTTTTCTCTGTATGTATTATTGTAGGGTCTACCTTGCAATACCTTGAAGCAACTTTTGTGATTTCACGCTGTATAAATAAAATTGAATAATTTCACTCTCCAAATTTGGAGCACAAACTTGCTAGATTAGACAATTATGGACTAGAGGTCTGGTTCACTCCCTTAAATTAACAAAGGTGGTACCTCAGTGAAGTCCAGAAGCTAGCGCTTCTTGTTTAGGAGGTTGCTATGGAAGGAGAAACTAGCCATAGTGACAAAATAGTGATGGCGCTGGCACGGCTGGCAGCCTTAACCCAATTTCCCTCGGGATGAATAAAGTATGATCAATCAATCAATCAAAAACACATTAAGCCTAGATTATAATCCACTGCGGACGCAGACAGCTGGGGATCCCATGGCCAGGTCCTGTCACGCTACTTTGATGTCCACTTGAAGTCCACCATTTGCGGAGCATGCGTAGTTGGTGCAATCTCATGTAAGATAACAGTTTCCCATGCATTTTTTTCCAGCTACAGCAGTTCACAAAAGTGTTAACAAAAATGCAACTTTAAAGGCCATTTATGCTACACATGTTTAGTTTAGATCTTGTATACTTGTTTTTCTTTTGTCGTCGTGGCTCTTCTTGCACCTAACTGAGGAAATCTTTGAGCCAAGAGCTGCATTTTGTGTTACAGCCTTTTCCTCAACTGTCCGTGATGAACGCTGCTGACAACAAAGCAGAGGAACGGGAGAGAGTGCCTCTGGCTCCAGGCCCATGCGTGGCCTGCAGCCTGGGAAGAAACGCCTTTCCCAGACACAACTCTCAGTACAGCAAGTATCACTACAAGTGAGCTCAAGTGCTGTTTGAAAAGGCAAATGCTGGAGAAATGAAAGAAAGATTTCTGAAGTAATATATGCTTTTTTTCTGTTGCCTCTTACAGTGGATTCTGTGAGCAGCATTCATTTTTGTACAAGCGGACTGCCCTGCCTCTGACAGACAGGGAGAGGAGCATCTTCAGGTTTCAAAAGTAGCATTAAACAACAGTAAAGGTCAGCCATTCAGGAAAACCTGGTGTCCAAACAGGCTCATTAAAACTGCTATCCTGCAAAATTATTCATTATAGCATTAAAGTGAAAGAGCACTTAGGATTGAGTTTCATGTAATGCCATCAGAGTAGAAGTCTGACCCACTGAAGTTATTATTAATATAAAACAGCTAATATTAATCTCTTCATGTTTTACTGAATGTAAAAACAACCACTAATACAAGATTGGAGACGCATCATTGGGACTGGTCAAAATAGTCCAATCAGAATACAGGAAACAGTATTATGGTCTCAGTGGAGAGCTCAGTAAGTTCTTTCGAGAGGGTGAGAGCAGATGTAGGCTCTGTTCTCCAGGACCTGTTTGGCAATCTTCTTGATGTTGGCATCGTTGTTCTCAGGAGAGTCTGAAACGAATTGAGACAAGAATCACAAACCACGCCACACACTCCGATCAGACGTAAACACAGCACTTGATCATAGCGCTGGTTAGCTTAGAGGTCATTAAAAAAGTGCACGGTGTGAAAATGAAAAGCAGCGGGTGGTTCCAGTGTTGGTATGTGCTGTTTGGTGGGGAAATTCCACAACACATGCAAGTCTTTTGTACTAAGATGTTGCTGAAAGAAGAAAAAAAAAAGTCCCACACGGATCACGGTGCTGTTCTCAATTACCGTTTTGTGTTGTACTTACGTTTTTGCAGCTGAACCATCCAGTAATTGTTCTTAAAGAAGGCATCGTTGCAGAATGTGTTTGCAAGCAGCACCTAAAAAAGCAACACCAGTAAACATTTGGCACCTCTATCTGCAAATACTGTACACATAATTACTGAAAACCAAAAGGTGTATTGCGTGCACCCTCACATTTATGGCTTTTAACTACAGTGCAGAGACAGCACAGCGCTGCCCATCTGAAACACAGAGGATAATATGAAGCATTCGCTGCCCTCTTTAAAGGCTTTCTTTCTTAAAGTCTTTGTGTTGAGGTTTTGTTTTGCATCGCTGTTTCTCATTACGAACAGGACTCTTTTTCAGTCGTCTTTACACTCCATCGTCCTGCCCTTCACCTAAATCTGCTCCAGGAACAACCGCTGTTCAAATGAAGGTAGTGTGCTACAGCTTTTAACTCGATCAAATAGTAAAGTGAAAGTAATAAAAGTGACGGCGAGTTTTATTTAACAAGTCTAAACACAAGCTGATCAAAAGCCTAATTAAACACGTCAGCAAGTGAAAGGAAAAAAAAACAAAACAAGAAAAAACACAAATAGAGAATAACAGACGTGGAGCTGTTTTAATTGTCTGCCGAAGGAACCGCTGTCCTGCAGTAAGTGAAAACAGCCAAAACAAACCACACCAGATAAGATTATACAATTTAATAGAGCCTAATAGTGAGGAATAAAAATCACGTTCAAATTCTCCGTGGGGACTTTGATTATGAGCCGTAATGCTGGAACCAACCAAAGTAAACTTCACACGAGCTGCTAGACTCTGAAATGTGTGAATGATGACATGTGCTCCTGTAGAAACCTCATCTGTGTGATGTCAAAGAACTAGTCTAGCCACAAACATCAGTTTGGGTGGTAACCATCAAACTCACAAATAAAGCACTATACCATATCAATAACTAGGGTAGACTTTTGTGTACACACACACAGTTCAAAACAATTACACAATACGATAATGAAAAAGGATTAAATTTGATAAGATTGGCTGTGTGACTAAATTTGTAATTCACCTCAAAGAGCTGAGACATATCCTGCTTTATGCTGCTGTTAGTGTGAAAGTCTTGAGTGTTTGGCCAACAGCAGAGTGTGACTGCACTGCATGTTTGGGAGATTTTCTTCTTGCATCTTACTAATAAATCAGGAAGCTCTACATCCGGTCCACTTCATGTGTACGTGGCATGTGTGTTACTGGGGACCTGAGTAAGTGCTTTGCTGAATGTGATTCGTCATACGTTGAGAAAGTTTGTCCGGTTAGGCCCCTCCAATGAGCCGTTCAAGGGAAACACTGCCAAAAGAAACTACTTGTAACCAAAGTGTCCTCATGCTGACGGTCGAAAACTCAAAGTGGGTCCTACAGAGACAGCTGGACAAGTGAACACGATTTGATCTGAATCTTTTTGTCTTTAGTTTCTTACGATAAATGTGGATGAGCAGTTCTCTAGCATTCGTGTTGAAATGTTGTCCAGAAGTGGTTGGCATGGCTCAAAATTTCACCTGCTGCATTTTCCTCCAACACTAAGACGCAAGCTGAAATTACAGTTGTGTAAACTCCAATTCTTTACCCACTCCTCACGCACGTGAAAACATTAACTCAGCCACTGTAGGTGTGAGCTGGGCTGCTGCAGGCTCTGCAGTGAACATACCGATGCTTATAGTGTGGGCTAAGTGAGGCAGCTGTTTACTGTCAGCCTTAAACAGCGTAAACACAGAGGAAGTGATGTGTACAGAAATCCTATGAGATCGATGGAAAACTGCTCTCGTTGTGGCAAACAAACAAGTTCAATATGAATATTTATTCTGCGTGTGCGAGACTTCTAAACTGTGTGAGTGTGCACAGAGCGTACAAACCTCGTGGTCGTGATTCCTGAGGCCGATGCTAATGGAGCGGCTCGCTCTGGACAGGACGGCTGTCATAGCGTACATGTGGATCAGCACGTCTGCCACCCTCTTCAGGACGAGCTGTTCGTCCACTATGGTCTGACATCATCGGGGGAGAGGAGGAGAGACATGTGAGGGACAGTTACCTCAACTTTAGCTTTTGTATTTTAGTGACGAAAACCTAGTCGAGTCACTGTGCAAGTACTGAAGAAGCACACGGTTAACTAGCATCGAGCTTTATTGTTGTCCTGTTGCCATGGATAAAATATGTGAGTAAAACTAATCAAATGAATAAACTGACATAGTTTCCATTTCCATCTAGATTTCAGAGTGAAATAGCAGCTTGGGGCTGATGGGCAGTTAACACGTAGAGCTAAGGAATGAGTTTTCCCTGCATTGTAACACTACAGATAATCAGTCCTGTAATGACACTGTACAATTACAGCATGAGCTGTTAGAGCACGGCTTTGATCCATAGCAACAATTTTCTACTTAAATGCATCAGTTCCTCCACCCTGCCTGCAATGAGACCATCTTCTTTAATAGCTTTGTCCCAATTTCCTGAAAATATCATTAAAGAGAAGAAGAAATGATTTGCATGTGCTGTTAGCCTTTAAACTTTTCACTGCTTATTTTCTTACATGTAAGCAGCCTGAACCTCGATATTCAAACTCTTGGCAAACATTTAAGTCCTCTGAGGAAAGTTTGTGTGTGCTGGATCTAAACCAGTCAAATGATACAGGAACTGAGAATCTGGAAAACTTTCTGGCTACCAAAAGGTTTATAGCTTCTTTGGGAAAAGCTGTGATTACAAAAGCACAGTCGCGAAACACAATTTGAAGCAGCTGTGTAACAGACAAACACCACCGCTCATTATGAAACAACTTTTATATTTACATGATGAATGGGAAATTTGCTCATAGAAACTGGAAAGCTTTGAGCGGGAAAATCCCACAGCTGCTTTTCCAGAATCAAACGCTACCTTTCCATATCTGTAGAGCAGGCTCTCCACAGTCGACCCAAACAGGCTGACGTTCTGCTCCAGCTTCTTTGCACTGTCCTGCAAACGGAAACAGAAGATTGAAGAGCTTCGACAAAAAACACTTCACTCATCTAACACCACAATTCTCTTACTTCCAAGCTGGGATGCACCACTCCATCTTTCCCCGTCAGGCCGAGGTCTACTGAAGCTCCAAGCGAGGTCCTCAGTTTCTTGCTGACCATGCCTATCGCAAGACCTATATTTCCTTTCTTCATCTCCCTGAGGGCACAAACAACCACGTGCCTCTAAGCACAGGCAAACAGCTCCATATTTTTCTTAGGAAGTGTGAACACAACACAACTAACAGAAGGGGCAATGTAGGACTTAAAAGCAAAAACCTTCAAACCTCAACAACACCTTCAGATTCTTACTTTATTTTCCCTGTGAGGATTTTGCCAGCATACTGCATTCCAGTGAGAGCGATGTACATCCTCAGGATTTCATTGGTACCCTGTGAGCAAACAGTGGAATTGGACTTAAGTTAAGAGTTTTCTGTGTCACGGGAAGTGGCTCTCTGATGGTTGAACAGAGAACTCTGTTGTGAGCAGGCAATGTTTTGCTTTCAAAATCAGCTGGAAACGTGACGTTTTAACGATTTCTTTTATTTACTGCATGTCTTAAGTGAAATGCTGATTCTCTGCTGGGGAGCACGTTTTATTCGTGCAGGCTGTTAGGCTGTACCATACTCACATCACAAATGAAGCCCAGCTGTAAAGTTACATGTACTGATTTGGTGATGCAGAAAATGTTTATACACTTGATTCTAATCACAGAACACACAAACCAAGCCGACCTCAGCTGCACAGTCAATAACCACCAAAGTGAAACCTGTTATCTCTGACTAACGAAGAACGGATGGCCGCGTTGAACTTCCCTCGCACTGTACCCCGCAGGTGTGCGTGTATGAGTGTGTGGGATTGTCTGCTGTAGGAAAGCAGGGAATTTTGCTACATTGTATTTTCAAATTTTAAACTTTCTATCAGTAACAGTGAGTGTGACTGACTGACACAGTGAGGGGCTTTGATAATGATGGGTCTGGAGCTTTCTATGTAAAGTGCCCGAAGATGATGTGTTTCACCTCAAAATTAACTGTTTACTTCAATTTCATCTATTAAGAGCTTTGTTTCAACAGTAAAATATGCCACCTGGTGGTTGCTGACAGAATGAACCGTCTCAACAGTCCAGTATCTTTCACACAAGGATTTTAAATTTGGCAGCACAGTGGTTGCCTCACAGCAAGGACGTCCTGAGTTCAATTCCAGTTCCAGTTCTGGGGCCTTTCTGTGTAGAGTTTGCGTGTTTATCCCATATTTGTATGGGTTCTCTCCGAGTACCGGCTTCCTCCCACAGTCCAAAGACATGCAGTTAGTGGGGTTAGGATAATAGGTGTGAATGTGAGTGCAAATGTTTGTTTGTCTCTATGTGTTGTTAGCCCTGTAACAGACTGGTGACCTGTCCAGGGTGTACCCTGCCTCTCGCCCTAAGACAGCTGGGATCGGCTCCAGCGACCCTGACAAGGTTAAGCAGAAGATTCAAATTCCCAATGACCAGAAAAATACTGGGATTTGATACAGTGTAGCGGCAGCATTACAGTTTGGAAGACAAGGTTTAACAAATGAACTGTTAACAGTTTTTTGATGTGTGTCATGGAGAGGAGAGGGGGGGCACAGAGTTCATCTTAACTATGGCTGGGCAAAAAGCTGAAGGGCAGGCAAGATTCGTTTTTTGAAAAGGAAACAAATACATACGCTTTTACTCTAGCACAAACCAAGACTATATCTAGCCCTCAGAGTTTAAACACTTATGTATGAGTACCTCAAAGATGGGCAGGATGCGGCAGTCCCTGACGAAGCGCTCAAAGGGATAGTTCTTGGTATAACCCAGACCTCCGAGCACCTGAAGAGCCTCGCTCACACAAATCCAGCCTCCCTCCGAGCTGAACACCTGTACCGAAGATGAGGAACACACACCGTGAGTAGTTTCATAAAAGTTTCACCTGAACACAGACGACAGAGCAAGTGGTACCTTGACCATGGCTGCCTCCAGAGAACAGTCTGGAACGCCCGGTCTGTCCATCATCCCTGCTGTCAGGTATGCCATGCTCTCCATCACGAAGGCATTGAGGGCCATCATTGCAAACTTCTCCTACAGAAAGCATAGAAATCACAGTATTTAGTCACTTCTGATCAGACTGGAAGGTGTCACAAGCTTCCAAGTGAGGGGAGAGCATACCTGGATCATACCAAACTCACTCAGGCTTTTGTTAAACTGCTTCCTGGTAGCGGCATACTCAGATGTCAGCTCTACAGAAGGCCAGACAGAGAAGCCAGACTTAATAAACTTAAAACACTCACAACTGCTACCCAGTTAAAACAACAGCTGAGTGCTTACCGATCAGCTTTTTAATCATTCCAGCACAGGAGCTGCCCATACTGAACCTCCCTGAGTTCAGGATGTTCATGGCGATCTGTCCGACACGCAGCACATGTTTACAAATATTACAGAATCTCCGTTGTGTAGACAGATGAAGCTGGCTTTAGAGCTTACCTTAAATCCACCTCCAATTTCTCCGATCACGTTCTCTACTGGTACTGGGACATTATCGAAGGACAGCTCACAGGCTGAAAGGTTACAGCGTTGAAACATAAATGACATGAAAATGGCCCAGCGTCTATCAAACTGCCTTTAAGTGTTGATGAAAGGCTTACTGTTGGATCCCCTGATGCCCAGTTTGTCCTCAGGCTTGCCGCTGGTGATCCCTCCAAAAGCCCTCTCCACGATGAATGCAGATATCTTGTCTTTCTTTACACCATCTACTTCCACCTCAGTCCTGGCGAACACGGTCATGATGTCCGCCATGCCTCCATTTGAAATCCAGATCTGACAACATGGTTCAAGTCAGGAGCTTCAGTCAGAGGCTGAGTTGAAGTCTGAATTAAAACTTGGTGGAAACGGTTCCTCTCACCTTGGAGCCGTTGATCAGGTAATGTTTTCCATCTTCAGACAGGGTTGCACGGGTCTGAATGGAGGCTGCGTCACTGCCACTGTAACGGACAGGCTGAGTGTCAGTGGAGCAAAGACAGCTACATGCTCAGGCACATGGCGTAGATGCCATCATCACTGTGTTAACGCTGGCTGATGCATCACATTGGGTTTTCAATGATGACTTTGGCTTGCAGTGACTTGCAAACAACCTCACTGTATGGTTCACTTCAAGCAAATAACACAATGAGCCTTTATCACCAAGTACTAATCAGAGGAAGGAAAAGTGGGAACACGGGTTCTGTGGGTGTTTCTGTGGAGTCCAATCCAAACAGCTAATGGTGTCTATAAATACATAGTATTTCTAAAGTCATTGGGAAGTGAGTCAACATCTGTGACATCAGTCTTTATCTTGATTAAATAATGTCCTGATTTAGGCTGTAATCATGGTGCTCTGTACAGTGTCCTGAATCCTGTAACCGCCATCTTTAACCACCGTTTGGTGCCCTGTGGGCGTCAACGCTGAGCAGTGACTGAGAATGAACCTGCAGATACAATCAGCTGAGACGCTTATTTTCAGGTTGCTGGGTTTTAAAATGTAAACTGCAGCCAGTTACCTGGATGGAGCCTGACGCACACTGACAGTTTTCATACTGGGAGTCTACTGGCAGTTGCCAGGCTACCCCACAGCCCCCTAGTAGATGCAAACGTAGAATAAATGTGATTTTTAGGAAAGCTGACATCTGATTTTGAGGTCAAGATCTCCAGGATCACTGCTCATCTGAGATTTTCAGTAGCTGTACCTACGTCACCTCGTTCTCAGGTTATCTTATTCAAAAATTAGAGGGGCCACGCCGCCTACCTCAGATGTTTTACCAGTCTTCTCCTGTCCAGCTTTGTTAAACCTGTGTGAAATGTAGCTTCAGCTTTCTGTTTGTTAGCTCACAGGAGGGACGCACTGGTTTTCTGCTGTTGTACCACATCTGCTTCAAGGTTCAAAATGTTGTGTGTTCATAGAGGGTTCGTAGAGCTATGTTCTTCTGCATAGTGAGTGTTTGTTTGAGTTACTGTTGCCTTCCTTTTAGCTCACAGCAGTTTGGCGACTCTCCTCTGACATTTTCTCGCAGGCAGCTGTCACTCACTGGATAGTTTCTCTTTTTCTGACTAAACCCTACAGATGGTTGTATGAGACAATCCTAGTAGTTTCTGAGATACAAGAACCAGGCCACATTCAACGCCACTAAAACCACCCTTCTTCCCCACTCTGATGCTGGGTTTGAATGAGTTTATATGCCTAAATGACTCTGATATTGAGTTGCTGCCTTGTGACTGGACGATCAGATATTTGTTCTAATAATAGTTCAACAGGTGTACCTAATGAAGTGGCCAGTGGGTGTAGAGATAACCTGTTATTTGTGTTCATCAGACTGTGCTTCACTGCTGTATGAGCAGAGTTGGAGCCACAGAGGAGAACGCTGCGGATGACATGTGCATGGTGTTCTTTACCTTCCAGGCTCTGTCAGACAGAAAGCTGCGATGTGCTCCCCTGAGGCCAGCTTGGGCAGATACTTTTTCTTCTGGGCTTCATTGCCTGCTATCAGGATCCCCTGAGAGCCCACAAATGTGTTAGCAAATCCTCCAGATTGTCCACATTGCAGACACAACTCCGTATTGTATTTTTACCTTCAGTCCAATGGCTTGATGAGCAGCCAGTGTGACGGCGATGGAGCCGTCTAAGGCGATGATCTCATTCAGTCGTGCATAAATAGTGTGGGATAATCCAAGACCCCCTGGGATTGAAAAACAAATGATAAACAATAAAAACAGAAACTGCCCCACTGTGTCTCGCAGTGGGGCAGTTTCTGCATTTCCATCTAGCATGGATGTGTCAGAGAGACAGCTGTGGAGCCATGATGAAGTCAGGATCGTAGTGATGTTTCAGGGAAACTCCACTACGGTCGATATGTAGCTTTGACTTGAATCTGTACGTGTAGAAGCTGCACTGAGGCAGGAACCATATCTAAATCTAACAGCATGCCACCTGTTCATTAAAGCATTTCTGCGCTGAGCTCAGACAGAGTACCATTTAGATGTCAAGTGTGAGAGCTTAATTGAACCTCTTGTGCCATAAAATACACCCAAATATACTGACCTGATACTTGAAACGCTGCTGATTAACAGCAGATAACATACAGTACTAATATACTCATAAAGTAATGACGTTAAATGTTTAAAGTCCATTCAAACAGTATTTCAGTATTTTAAACTGCGCTCTGGGATTCATGTCTCCATGTGTAAAACAAAGCTGTTTGTAGAGTCTGTGATCTTCTTCTTCTTCTTCTGTCTATCCTCAACACCAGACCTGCCATAGCAGATGGCTGCCATCACTGAGCCTGAATATGCCAATTAAAAAGGAGTTCTTCCTCCCCACAGTTGCAAAGTGCTTGATTACAGGGGATTGCTGGGCTTCTCTCTAATACCATACAATTGTCATCAGCAGTGCCACGAGATGAATGCTTTGTTTGAAACTGACATACATAAAAAAAAAATGTTCTGGGAAGTTAAATCCCCGCAGTGGGTGCAGCTACATATTTGATTTGGCACAGATATGATGCCAGATGTAGTTCCTGATGCAACCCTTCCATTATCCAGTGTTGGCTGGCACTAAGTGAACACTAGCTTGCAACCTCCTGACCAGATGTAATACCATCTGGAAAGCATCTGATTGACAACTGCCTCATTTTTTAGCATGATAATGAATCCAAACACAGTAGCAGCGCAGTAAAGCCATACCTGGAGAGACAAAGACGCAGTGCACACTATAGGTCATGCACTGGCCTCCCTAGAGCCCAGACCCCAACATTATCGAGATCATCAACACAGAACAGAACGAAAGGCAGCCGACATCCAAACAAGAGCTTTGAATATCATCCAAACAGCCTGGAGAGATATTCCTGAAGAATACTTAAACAAAGCTGCCTGAGATAGTTCAGACTGTTCAAGAATAAAGACGGTCATACAAATATGGAGTTCCAACATTATTGGAATTATACAAACTGTGTTTGTTATGTTTACACATTTCAATAAATCCCTCCGTGTATTTCCCATTTTCTGAGCAGAATGTAAAGAAATGAAGGACAGCTCCAGCACATTAGTGTAAATCACTAGCTTGAAACCATAGATTATATATAAAATATGGATCCAGCCACTGTGACGTCATGCTTTGAATGTTGCCATCTTGGTTTTCTGAAACCAGCTGTTATGAGCTAAATGTGGGTCTGACTGAGAAACCAAAGGTCATACTGTTGGTGGTTGTGGTTTGTATCATATCCAATTACACACCAAGTTTAATTATGGAGTTCCACAGGGTTCAGTGCTAGGACCAATTCTGTTTACATTATACATGCTTCCATTAGGAAGTATCATCAGAAGGCATCACATACATTTTCACTGCTATGCATGAAGCCAGATAACACACACCAATGAGTTAAACTGCAGGAATGTCTTAAAGACATAAAGACCTGGATGGCCGCTAACTTTCTGCTTCTTAATTCAGATCAAACTGAGGTTATTGTACTCGGCCCTGAAAATCTTAGAAATATGGTATCTAACCAGATTCTTACTCTGGATGGCATTACCTTGGCCTCCAGTAATGCTGTGAGGAACCTTGGAGTCATTTTTGACCAGGACATGTCCTTCAACGCACATATTAAACAAATATGTAAGACTGCTTTCTTCCATTTGCGCAACATCTCTAAAATTAGAAATATCCTGTCTCAGAGTGACGCTGAAAAACTAGTTCATGCATTTATTACTTCCAGGCTGGACTACTGTAATTCATTATTATCAGGATGTCCAAAAAACTCCCTGAAAAGCCTTCAGCTAATCCAAAATGCTGCAGCAAGAGTCCTGACAGGGACTAGAAAGAGAGAGCATATTTCTCCTGTTTTGGCTTCCCTTCATTGGCTTCCTGTTAAATCCAGAATTGAATTCAAAATCCTGCTCCTCACATACAAGGTCTTAAATAATCAGGCCCCATCTTATCTTAATGACCTTGTAGTACCATATCACCCTATTAGAGCACTTCGCTCTCGCTCTGCAGGCCTACTTGTTGTTCCTAGAGTATTTAAAAGTAGAATGGGAGGCAGAGCCTTCAGTTTTCAGGCCCCTCTTCTGTGGAACCAGCTTCCAGTTTGGATTCAGGAGACAGACACTATCTCTACTTTCAAGATTAGGCTTAAACTTTCCTTTTTGCTAAAGCATATAGTTAGGGCTGGACCAGGTGATCCCTGAATCCTCCCTTAGTTATGCTGCAATAGACGTAGGCTGCCGGGGGATTCCCATGATGCATTGAGTTTTTCCTTTCCAGTCACCTTTCTCACTCACTATGTATTAACAGACCTCTCTGCATTGAACAATCTATTACTCTGTCTCTCTTCCACAGCATGTCTTTATCCTGTCTTCCTTCTCTCACCCCAACCAGTCGCAGCAGATGGCCCCGCCCCTCCCTGAGCCTGGTTCTGCCGGAGGTTTCTTCCTGTTAAAAGGGAGTTTTTCCTTCCCACTGTCGCCAAAGTGCTTGCTCATAGGGGGTCATATGATTGTTGGGTTTTTCTCTGTATGTATTATTGTAGGGTCTGCCAATATAAAATACCTTGAGGTGACTGTTCTTGTGATTTGGTGCTGTATAAATATATAAATAAATAAAAGTGAGTTGAAATAAATGCCACTAGGGGTGTCCACACAATCAGACTTCTTTTCTGCAACCACAGGAGGAAGTTGCCCTCTGCTGGCCAATGAAAAGAGTGCAAGTTTCAAGCACTGCTTCACCGGCTTTGCTTTTCAGAAAGAAGGAGCTGCATCCATCTGTTATGTATAGTGCAATGTTGAAACTAACTAGTAGCCTTAGAAGAGTTGTGTATAAAAGCTACATAGTCACACAAATTATATGAGGGAGGTGTCGTCCTTAAAAAATACCCTAAATAAAAGAATGTAAAAATAAGTAACAACACAGATCAAAGTATTAGTATAACGTCCAGAACATTGCTCTTAACTTCTAACTTCACTTTGGGGCAAAGTCGGGTGGAGTTAAAGTTCATCTCAAAAATGCTTTGAAATCAATTTTCACTCATATTTTCAGATGGATCCCGAGAGGCGAGACTTTAGAAGGCTTTTAGAAGGGCTTTGTTAAAATCATCTCACCGTATTCTTCAGGAATCATGATTCCAAACAGCCCGAGATCCTTCAACCCCTGCAGAGTCTCCAGAGGAATTGTGGCCTCTCTGTCAATTTTTGCTGAGTCAACTGGCAAAGAAACCCCAAAACAAAAACAAACAAAATCCAGCAATTCCAATGTCAGTCATTTAATTCCTCTGATAAATCATATCTGAAAGTCATTAATCACGTGCATGTACTCAATTCCCACCTCACCATCATCACTGAAGAACTTCTCTACCGGTGCAACAAGCTGCTTTATCTCCTCCACCTCATCATTTCCAATTTCCGGATAAGGGAAGACCTCAGCCTGGAGAACGAAACAGGTCTTTTTAGAGATCGTGACAGGGTTATGCATCTATGTTAACGTCCAAGTCATATTTTTGTGTTATATAGTTATATGCTTCTAATCCATCATGTGGTGACAGTGTGAAGCATGAAATCCTGCAGATAAAGCGGATGTTCATATTAACTATGAGAAAGGAGAAAAAGGTCATGTCTGTAATTCTGACTGTGGCCTGGTTTTAAATGATTCTGAACCAGCTCACCTGCCCATCAGCATCCAGGGTTTACTCAGAATGGTGCAGAAACCACGCAGTGAGTGGCAGGTACAGAACTGTAAGACTGCAGGCAGCAGAAACGTGACTGAAAAGTAAAAGCTGGTGTGGCGAATCCCTGTTCTGATTGGAGAATCAAGAGCATGATTCCCCTGTGCTGACCTGCCATGTGCCAAAAGTAAAGACTGATGTTGCTGTGTAGGGAATCTTTTCTCTCCACACTCTGAGATCCTTGAAGCAATCACAGCACTGTAAGGGTTGTTGGTAACCATGTGCATCCTTTTATCGCCATGATTTACCCTCTTTTAATGGCCTTTTCCAGACTCCAGAAACAAATCCTGCAGAGAGGCCTTGGGATGTGTTATAGAGGGAGACTGAAAGCGTGAACGGTGTGATGATTCGTGTCAACACGGAGGACTCTAAAGAAAGACGTTTCCACTGTGTGAGATAAACAGACCTTCCTACACGGTAGCTGGTTTTACTTTGGGTAGATATTTAAAGTCTCTTTCACCATTTACCCCAAACAGGTGTGACAGTGCCTCAGCCTCAGTTTTTTCAAGCTTCCCTGCATTTTATGTGTCTTATTTATCTGGTGTTGCGTCTAAGGCCCTTTGTTTCGTAAACGATACTTCTTTCAAAGCTAGAACGCTGGTGATTGTTAGCTTTGAATATAGTTATCATCTAAAGTACAAAGTCTTTTCTGAGACGACTTCCTCCGCCCGTCACTAACTTTGGAGAGGCTTTCTGGCAGCTCTTTTCCTTTACCTTGTTCACTTGACCGAGGAACAGATCCTTCGCATACGCCAGGTGTCTGCAGTGAGTTTTAATGCTCCTCCGCTGCTGTAGTCTCAGCTCTTCTTGCCCAGCATGCCTCGCGTGACAGCCAAGCAACCGCTGTCCGATTCGAAAGGTTCGAGAGACGATTAATCTGTTCATGTTCATCATTCTATTAGCAAAGATCTCTACTTCATACAGCCATCGGTCTGCTAACGAACCCAAGAAGCAAAGTACCTTTCACCCATTTCTGTCCCATGCTGATGACGTAAGAGATATGTTCGAGAGGCGTTCTCTGACCCATGTAAACTATAGACTTACAAATGTGAACGGTCTTCTAACACATACATACCGAGCTTACTGGTAGTGTAACTTTGAATAAAAATTATGTTTTGTTTTGTTTGTGTTTGTGTTTACAAAAAAATCAATATCTTTGTAAAAAATAACTCTCTTACCAACTTTGATTTTTATTTTTCACGTGTTCTTTACAGAAGACCGCGGTCATAAAGACTGTGACTTTTAAAAAGTGTTTGTTGGATTTTATTTTATTTTATTTACCATGTTATCTGTATATAATGTATATGTTCACTCATGTTTTATTACTAAAAATATGCAATTCATATTTGTAGCTTTTAAGTAGAGCAATCCCAGGAAAAAAACAAAAACAAACCCATACGTGACTCCATGATCCTCCGTCTCGCTGACTATAAGCCCTCGAATTTAAAGTTGGAAAGCACAAGACCTTTAAAGAAATTAAATTTCGTGTATGTCATGAATACTAGTGCCATTGGTTTTCGAAATTTCCGACGGTACTTGAACATATCATAGCAATACCTGCAGGACTCCACTAGATGACGTATTATGCAAAGAAACCACTCAGCCCTAGAGTAGAGAGGGCTCTGCTTCTGACTTGTGCTGGAAACTGGACCTAAATTATGGACAATAACTTTTTTCTTTTCTTTATCTACATGTGTGTAGAATAATTTTCACCACCAACTAAGATATTTAAAAGCTGTATAAATAAAAGAAATAAAAGAAAAATATGCACACACCCTACTGACAGAAATAAAAACCTGGAGCTGGTTTGCTTCTGTATCATTGAATGTGTACTTGTCTAATACATGCTGTTCTTTGCTGGCAGAGGAAATGAAGCCCTGTACTTGGTCCCTCCCAGGCCGCATGATGACGTTGTCCTGCTGACACTACGGATGTGGCCCTCATTGCTGGAATCTATTTTTAGATCCAGCCTCAAGGGCCAGACAGACAAACAGGGCAAACTGTCACTCAGACCACCTGCCACAGTTAGGCAAGTAGCCAAGGCATGCTGGCTGTGCGAGACTGAAAAAAAGAATAAGAGTACTGCAGTTGTGACCTTCATCAGAGGCTTCAACTTCCTGAGAATTTTGTTTAGGTTGATAGAAATATCTCAGCGTCCCTGGTGGCCTCTGTATTGTTGGAGCTACGTGAAGGGGAGGAAAATAGAAACACATATGTATCACTCATGTGCAGGACAATATAGCTGCAGCCGAGGACAGTGGATATCATATCCTCACTATTGTTTCATGGAATGTAGGGATTTTAAAGGGGAGTTCCACTAAATTCACACATAAAGGTCATTTTATTCGTCACAAGGTAGTACTCGCCTTGTTGGAGTACTTGTACAATGTTTTCTGTGCTGCTGAATTTAAAGCTGAAAATAAAATCGAGATGATGTTGTCAGGTCAAAGTGAGGATGTGGAGTTTCAGGTTTGCATGAAAGTTCATGACCAATACAAGATAATACATAAATGCACGAATACATGCATAGTGTGCACTAAATCTAATAATGGAAACACTCTAAGAAGACCAATTCTGAGCTAATCTAGTCTCAGTTACTGTAGATAGTCCTGTCTTTGCACACTGTTTCAGGAGCCAGTGGTTAACTAACAGGGTTAATAGTTTTAACCCCTGCCCACCCTGCTCTTGAGCAAGACGTTGATCCCCAAAGTGTAAACACTGGCAGTGCTAGATATTTCAAAGCACTTTATCCTGCTAGAGTAGACTGTGTACTGTCACACTGGCTGTAGGCTGAGTATACAAAAGCCAAAAAAAAAAGTCTGGTTCCACAACTATGCAGTCTATTTTAATTCAGTAAAATCTACACAAGGGACACTAGGCAACTTTTAAGAAGAATAGGCTATAAAGACTGAATATAACACATATACATATTAAAAAACAGTTCTTTAAAGGCCCTAGTTTCTACAGCTATGGGACCATCATTGGGTAGAGAAGCCTTTAAAGCACTCTTGAGAATATTCTATGACTTCTCTCAGAAATGTAATACTGACACCTTTAAGAAGAATGAAGAAGCCGCCAGAGGTTCTGGAGCTCTAGTACATCTTTTCCACTGATGCAGTGCCAGTGGCTAAAATAGAACTCTTTAAACTCTTTAAAGACCACACTGCTACAGAAAAGCACCACATGCTGGTCTTAAATTTGTACCCCAAAGATCAGTGGCAATCAGAAGAAATTCACGGGTGATTGCTGATCCAGTGTGCTAAGATTTCCTTTCCCATTGGAGTCACTGCAGCTTCCATGACAGTGTTTGGTTCTAAAACTCTAAAACAAGGCTGGTTCTCCAAAGGTGCCAAGGAAGAAGTCTTGAGGAAGTCTGGTCACATGACTAGGATGACTGCATCACAGAGATGCTGTCCTAAGATGTTTTGGACTCATATAGAGTTCCCAGATTCTCAGCCACCACACCATGTTCGAGGTTAGGAAAAACCTTCTCAATTCCCAGCACGGAACCCTTTGAAGTAGAAAAGCCTGGTGTATTTATTTTCAATTGTTGGCACCTGATAGAGTCCAAAGTGGCCACTTTGACATGTTTTGTCTGGATGCGCTTTAGTTTCTTATATTTTCCTCATTTTTTGGTAACCTTTTGCTCTCAGTCTCAGGTGGAGTTGTTGGACTAGCATTAAGTCTCTGGTTTTCCTGTCTGGACAGTTCTTCCCACGCCTGTTCCTAATGGTGTGATTAATTAATAATTTTGTTGATGGGTGGTGATTGTCCTTGCTGTGGTTGTCTGTAATCTCCTGTGCCTGTGTAATGCTCTTTCTCTGTGAACAAGAGAAACATGCTGCCTCCAAGTCACACATTCCTGAAGACTGTGAGCACCATCAGCCGCTTTTCTCAGCTCTGGCATGCCAGCGCAGTCACCCTCAAAGGACTAACCTCCTCTCCACCTGCTTGCCAGCTCTCCACCCATCTCCTCTCAGCAACTAGCTAACCAAGTATACCTCCTGAGTTCTGAGTAAGACACTTGAAAACTCTCACTCTTACCAGTATCCGTCTTGCTGCACTTCAATAAACATCTAAACCTGCCAGCGTCTGCTCTTGGTTGGTTGTTCAAACCAGCTTAAGACACAGTAACAGGTGAGAAATCATATTTCATTACAGAATGAGTGTGGACATTAAAGGGAGTGGTAAAGCAAATATACAGAGAGCTCATAAGGCACATCTATCTGCACAGCTGAGGCTAATAGAACATATCTGCTTAACTCTGGTTCTAATGTATACACCACAGATCTGCAGTGAAAGACCTGCAGTCAAAACAGTAACCTGCAATACTGCAAGACTGACCTGGGAAATGTTTGCAGGTGAGACTGATCTGGAAGACTATGCCAGTTCAGTTCTGGGATGCAGACACTTTTGCATTACAAAAAAAGGACAATAAAGCTGTACAGCAAAGCAGGAATGCAGCCTTCAGGTCAGGGTACAGAGGAGCCTACAGCTCAGCCATATTTACTTCCTCCTCTCCATCTGCTTTCACGCATTCACTCATTTAGGGATCTGAATTCAGCCTACAAGAAGTGTAGCTCCTTGATCTTCCCAGTCGTTCATCTGACACCAAGAAATACCAAGCAGGATGCAAACAGGCAGACAACTGCTCCGATTTGACTGTATATCATTTTATTTTGCGTTCTCAACATTGTCACAGTACTAGTTTTACATCAATGGGTATTTTTCTACTTAGAAACAGAATGCATAATAAAATAAGAGCACTCCTCTCTTCCCTTTGACTTCAGAAGTCTGGCTGTGAGTGTGAGAAAACAGAAGCATCTCAGGAAAGACGACAGAAACGGTGTTAGCCGTGTAACAATTGGCTGTTCATCTCTAGATCCTATGATAATTCAGTCCTGTCGGAGGCAGAGAGAAGCAGTTTGATTATGTAAAGATCACAAGGGAGCAGGAATGCACCTTCAATGTAACTGTAGACACTGAATAGTAATAATAAGAATAATTAATAACAATAATTTACAGACTATTTACATATGTTACTCATTCTTTATTACCAGCTTGCCATTAAAATATTTCCTCCATGTCCAGCCCTCTTTACTTTTACTTCAAGTCACATTAGATTCCATATTTACACTCAGCAGTACGCTGCCAGGTCTTTATACTCTACAGTGGAAATATGGGTGAAATGCATGCCGGAGAAGAATGATGCACAAACAAAAAGACACACTAGCAGGCCAAAACTCGTCTAGATGTAAACAAGCACAAGTCAGGGAAGTCGTAGCTATGCTGGAAGGTTAAGTTCTAGTCAAGCACGCCGCTTGACAGAGCAACGGTTGAAAAAACAAAAACAAATGAAACCAAAAAAAGAGAGTAGAAGAAAGAAACAGTAGGCATCAATGGCATGCAGCAAAGCACCTCACATGGAATCTGGACAGGTTTCACAATAGATCAGTGCTCTGAAGGAACTGGAAGGTTGTAGGGTAATAAAAGTAACTCGGGCTCCTTTTTTGGTATCTGCCTGTACCTTTACTCTCTAATAGCCTGTTGGTGTTCGAATCCTGGTCTGAAGACAAACTTTGTGATTGGTCGGGTACAGCGTTGGGTTTTAAATACAGCCCCCAGTAGATTTCATGTTAAACTGATTTTAACAATGCAATATTGGCACTTTCCTGACACTGTAGCACAGAAACTGCAGCCAACTATAAGGTGTGAAAGTTACAGGAGCCTACAGTGCACGGACACAACAAAATCTATGTTAAAGGTACTTTTTGTAAGGACATATTGCAAATTGTACACATGCGTTAATAAAACTTTCACCACCAGGAGGCAGTGGTTTTCTCAGCAGGTGTGTTGAAATGTTTACGGAGGCGTCGTTCTTTTCATTTTTTATGTTTTTTTATTGTGTTGCCTTTTGCAGGCTACCATTGCAAATAGGAATGTTTTCGCAATGACTTACCTGATTTACAAGTTATAAAGTTACATTTATTTCAGCACCATCTTGTGGAACAAATGTGCATTGCATGAAAGTACGGCTGGGCCTTATTTTAACTTAACCCTGTAACGCCAAGTATATCAGAATTGATACATGAGATTTTTAGACCCTTACATTATCAGCGTGATTTATTTTTTCCTGAAAAACCTGAATAAACTGCACAATAAAATTTTAAGCAATAAATTGCATAAAAATGCCAGTTGTAGCAATAAATTAAAACTCATATATGTAAATTGATATTTCACTTCTTTTTTTGTAAAAAATGAAAAGTGAGGTTGAATAAACACTCTCAAATGAATTTTCTGGCAGTTATTTCTTGGTTCAGGCTTTTCAGGGTTAATCCCATACAGAGATGACGTCGATGAAGTCATAGTATTTGGTTTTTTCCCCACATTATTTGATGGCTTCAGTTCATTTCAGAAGTTTTTTATATTCTAATGGAATAGATTTTAAATACGTACCTTTAAATAAAATTTTACCTTTTCTACAAAAAAAAAAGATAAAGAATCTAATTGTTTTTTTTAAACATTACTAAATGCTTTACAAAATCAGTAATAAAACTTTAAGAAGCACAAGCTCTGGGTTGCCAGGTTGTAAGGTCTTGGCAAATCTACATCCTCACTGAACATTTCCAGGAAATATTGAAGCAGTTCTCATAGTTTTTGTATCTTATTTGCTTAGAGTATCACCTCAATAAGAGGCAGGTTATACTGTTTTATGTGAGAGTTAGCACATGTGGAGGGGAAACTGTGCCAAGTGTGGAACCTGCTTTGTATATCAACAAATATCACTTGAAACTGCCCTATGGACTTTGCACAAACTCTAAATTCTGCTTGCACACGTGGGAGGTTTTACTTGTGCTTTCCAAACCAGAGTGGAATCATATAAAATTGCTTATTAAACCTACTAATGTTTGGAAACTCAACAGAGTACCTTTAGCCTGTGGAAAAAATTTGAAAATTACATTTGAAAATCTATATACTGATAACATTGTGCAGCCAATCAGAAACTAAATGGCTTAAAAAGAAGGAGAACAGAGCTGTAACTGCTTGTTTCAGACAGTGCTAAACGGAGTATGTAATGGATTATTCTGAACAGTGAAAAGCATGCAAAGCTACTGCAATAAAAGCAGAGAGCTAAAAAACAGTGTAGCAAATACCATTTATAATAATCAGCCAGCTGCAGACTACGGATTCCTGGGGAAAAAAAAGCTACTTTTGGCTGCTCTTTGCCAAAGCAGTTAGCGCCTCATGTTTGATGCCCGTCCTTACACAAACACCAAGGGATCTGTGTCTCTTCTCTGGGTTGAAGAGGGGACGTTTGGCTTGTTGGGTGAATGTGTAAACTACTAGACTGTTAGAGAGAAACCTTAAAAACGTGTAATTTATAGTATATCATAAAAATGTGTAATTTCCTGTATAACTGGGTAAACATTAGGCCACAAGACACTTTCCAGAACCTGGCAACCCAAAAGTTGTCTTATAATGAATACAAAGAGCATTTCTAAGTGTATTAATCAATCAAACATTATGAAGCAAGTATAAAGTGTGGCTTTAACTGAGGGTATATATATTTAAGAATACTGATCTACTGGACACCACTTGAAAATGGTTAGGTGTGCGCCGCTGACAGACAGAGAGAAAATGTGAAGATAAAAGTTTCCTTTTTAAATAATCGATTATCACTCTGATTTTCAAATGACAGAATACACAGAGCTTCCCCGTTACAGCTTTGATCAGGTCCTGCTTTAACTACAGTTGAACACTAACGATCCAGTTTAACTACTGTACTGTATGTGGATCGGGTTAAAATACAGATTTGGTTACTTATCGTCTGGAGTGACATGAACACATCGCTGACTTCGGTTAGCTGTATTTGAAGAAGTCAAAACTATTCTACCATTCTTTTTTTTTTTAAACAACTGTCAACTGTAACACTGATATAGTTTGGGAGTACACAGTTTGAAAATAGCCTCAAGATATAACGTTACATGCAGTTCTTTTCTGTGACACTCTGCATCAGTGTGAAAGGTCCAGTTCCTCCAAATCCATGTGGATACTTGCACTTCACTGAAACACTGAGAAAGAAATGCCAGAGGACGCCGGAGGGAGAAAGTAAAGGGCGAAACTAACAGAACGACCAACAGATTGAACTTGTTCTTCGACAAAAACAAACAACAACAACAACAAAAAACCGCAAATACATATTGCACTAGTTTAAAAAATGCATCTCACAGTCTTTAAGCAGATACAGACTAACTCCTGCCATTGATATCAGCTATGTAGAATGAGCGCTGCATCTGTTGCTTTCAGAAACAGAAAATATGCTCCAGGACAGCAGCCCCCCCTGCCTCCGCTCCACACACACACCACAGATACTGTGCACGGGATGACCGGGAGGTACAACCAGCCATCCCATAATATGTCAGAAAGATGATTGATATAAAACCGCTCTCCGTAATGAGTCAAGCATAAGGGCGCTGTCACCATCACAGAATGATAATTATTGATTTTTGCTCTGTGGCGTCCATCCCAGGGAAAAAACCTCAAGACAAAACAAAACAGTCAGTTACGGCACGCTCGCCGTTCCAGCAGACGCACGGGGAAACCGAAGAGGGAGAGGGCACGCTCAGCCAGCTGAGAGCTTCCACAGTGGGACATGTTTCCCTGCTGCACAGTTTCTCCCTCAGTTTCCACATGAAAAACATCCAGCGTCCTCCTCCTCCCCCTGCAGGACAGACTTGCAGAGTCCCACCAGGCTGCAGGACAGCCTTTATATATTCGTATTGTTCATTGGATTCTAAAAAAATAGTTAAAAAAATAAAAGGAGGGCAGGCAAGCAGCGAGTGCCGCTGGCTTCCTTTGCTTTCCAGAGCAGGAGAGAGAGAGAGCTCCGGCCCGGAGACACGTGCAGTGGATGAGACTGTAGGTGGGCTGGAGTGCAGCAGCCCTCAACAATCTAACTTCTAGCTCAAAGGCAACCATTCACAGCAGTACTCTTGCGTCCGACTGCCTAACTAAGAAAAGCTTTGATTGGTTTCTTAACGGTGAAACTACGCCATCTATGTGCAAGTATAATACTGAGAGTTTTCATCGATGCTGTTTGTTCTGTAGTAATAACTATAATAATAACATTTGATATTATTATTTTACAAAATACTATGCACAATATACATAAAGCAATCTGTGTGACTAAATTAGTAAATGCTTTAATAATTGGCACATTTATCACTGCTAACAGAGATATCACAGTGCACTGTGAGCTACTGCTACATTAAATACTTGCACAGCCACGGCTGAGGCTGAGCTGTCGTCTTCGTGTCTGTTCAGCCAAACCGTCTTGACAACGTTTAAAGTTACTGTGTGAAGATTAATATGTACTTCTTGTGTAAAATACTAGTAAGCGAGTTCCGGTAGTTTACTGAGAAACAAACAGTAGTTGTGGTCTTTGTGCATGCTCTTGTCTGTTGCTCCTGAAGCGGGTAGACATGTCTTATGTCCTGAAACAAAATGATAGAAGCGGCTCTAAAAGAAAGGAAAAAAATCTGAAGGAGGCACAACGGGATCTCGTCTGGCTTCGTAGCCCCAGACCGGCGATGCACAGTGCCACCATCATGTCAGCCCAGGAGGAAAAAGTTCAGCTGCAGGGTCCAGAGAGGACGCCCTGCCCCTCACACCACTGTGCTGATGCCGCTGTGCTTGGGCTTGGTGCTGCTAGGTCCCTGGGAGGATGGTGGCGGCGCGCCGTGGTGGTGGGGAGGGCCGTGAGTGGGGTGGGTGGAGGAGTGCGGTGGGTGGCTCCCGTGCCCATGGGGCCCGTGAGGATGAGCCGGGTACGGCTGCTGTTGGCTGTGAGACGGGGGAGGGTGGTACTGGTGCGGTGGGTGCTGCAAGTGGGCCGGCGGGTGGTAGTGGTGATGGTGGTGATAAGGGGGTGGGTTCTGGGTCATGTGGCAGAACTGGGCGTGGTGCGGGTGCATGGGCACCGGTCCTTCCGTCTCCACGCGGGCTGTGTGGTGCAGGTTGGCTGGGTGCGGGGTGTGGGAGATGAGAGTAGGGTGCAGCTGGGGCTGAGGGGTGGGGCTGGGCGACTTCACACGCCTGGTGCCGAACAACGATCCGAGCAATGAGGAAGAGTTGGGCAGGGACTGGGCGCTGTGACGGGATGGGCAGTCTCGGCTGGACGGGGCTCTCCGCCGCATGTGAGGACTGCTAATGATGGACCCCTGCAAGAGAGAAGGCTGTCAGATCACACAGACAATCACGAGATCCACAGCAGACAAACGCACACCTGCACTTTCGTATGCTCTGCAGCGTGCACAGCCTCGCTCAATTCTTTTCACAGCGGCACCGACCACATGACCAGCTACAGCTGATCTCAAATCTCCCATGATTGCTTGTGCTGCCTTGTGGAAAAGCATCTCCATTTCCTTTTCCAGTTCACTGCCTTTGTTTGTCTATCCATGCTAACATCTCACGCTCCACTCTCCCTAAATGGTCTGGAGGCTCAGCTTGCCGAGCCTGTCAGAGCCTGTAGTGTCTGCGCTGTCATGAGTAGACACACAGCTTGTACGTCTTCAGCTCTGACAGCAGATGCTTCTGTGAGTTTTCATCACTCCTACCTCTGGTTTCTGAGCTCTCTAAATACATGTAAAATCACTTATGGATCTGTGGACAACAATCTGACACTGCAGACCTGAATAAGGTTTTTTGCCATTTGCATGCAGCTCATACTTTTAGATTTACTGTCTTTAACTTAAAACAGAAATTTCCCCCAAGCCTGGTGAAGAAGTAATTTGTACATTTTCTTTACATTTTCATAGCACAAAACACACAATAAACGATAAATATAACATAAGATAAATACAACACAGTCTAACCAAAATTAATAAAGCCATGCATAAAGTGCACAATGAACTTATAATAGATGATCTTCAAAATCCAAAAATTCAGCCTATTTAATTATGATCTATACGTGTGTTTTTATACATGAATACTGCTAAATTAACAGAGTTGCATAATATTCTGAATGATTTGCGATGGTGTCAGCGTGCTTTGAAGGTAGTGCATTTTATTTAAATGACAAGGAAGGGTAGTTGTGAACTGTTTTTAAAAGTTAAACACTTTGAGCTGGAACTAATTGACTTGTGATGTTGGTTTATAGTGCTGAAGGAATTTAAATCAATCTATTTATACGGCGTCAAATCACAACAACAGTCACCTCAAAGTACGATATAATGTAGGGTAAAGACTGCAAAAATACAGAGAAAACTCCAATAATCAGATGACCCCTATGTGGAAGCCCTTGGTGACAGTGGGAAGGAAAAACTCCCTTTTAACAGGAAGAAACCTCCAGTACAGCTTGGGGGAGAAGGGATGGAGTAGATTCAAAGTAAATGTGTTTTAAATGTGTTTTAAAGCCTTTAATATTTCTGTGTTCTGTTCTACAACATAAAATACATTAAAAAAAATAGTAACGTAGCGATCATGCTTCAGTCCCAGTGATTCTGAATCTAGTCTGAAGTTTTTCAGAGATGGAGAAATAGTAAGTTGCGGTATCTCTCCATGGGACTTGTGTAGTAATAGTTAGATTCAAGCTATTATTGAAGTAAACTAAAAATGTATGCTAGTCTCAAATCATTAAATCAAGTTAACTCTGTCAGCCATATATAAAACAGACCAGGTCATGTTCTCATTACTTTATAATTTACAGTATCATTTTTTTATTTTTGAATTACTCATCTGAATCTGCTAACATAAGTTATCAATGCAAACAATAGGGTAAAAACTTCCATATTATCCTGTAATACAAAGGTAATGCAGAACACTGGACTGGAGCACAAACTGGAGGAAGTTCAGAACAGTCCCACTCTGAGTAGGTACAACATATCATACTCTATGTTGGATAAGTGCAACAGTGAAAAAGGAAAGGACAGGACTTTCTTGTTGATGTCAGAGGTCTGTAAAAGAAACTTCAAACTGTGTCAGCATGCAGTAGAACTGTCAGGATCATCCTGAGTGATCAAAAAAAGGACAACATTCGGGTAATGGCTAAAAACTGTTCCCACTACAAAAGCCAAGATAACTCAAACGTAAGAGCCGATCATCAACGGAGCTGTCAGGACTTTATTAGTCGTGCCATGCTGTGTACGTGAAGGGTTAACATGCTAGATGCAACATCATTCCCGTTCTACTCAAAACATGCACAGCAGCCAATATGCTCACGACTAAAGCACAGACACTCAAAAAAAGAGAGAAAAACACTATAAAGAAACAATGAAACAGAAACAATGAAACTGGGAGCAACGTAAAGTCGGAGGACAGCTCAGCATCAGTTGATCCAAACTTACTTCCATATTGCTGTCTAGTGATCCTGCACTGCTGCGTCTCCCACGCTTGCCTGCCCAGAACATGTAACATGACAGATAAGACATGCCTGATTAAAATATGGAGGTGCACATATTTCTTGTCTGCGACGGCAGGATGCTAACACGCTAAAGTGGTACACGGCTAGCTGGTGGCAAACTAGCGTGGCAGAGGAAGGCGAATAAGAACTAAAGGAAATGGGAAAGGAACAAGACACTGCTCCGAAACAAGGTCAGAGATAAATCTGTGCAGTCAACTTGAGTCACTGCTGGCAGGAAACCTTCCCATCAGCAAAACAACTGATCTGACTGCAAGAAAATGATGCTCATGTCCATTAAGATGAAAGACTCCCAAGGGACAGTTCTAAAAAAGACTGGGTGAAATCAGGGGCTAAAATATGCAATTATAAGCAATATTCAGTGTTTTAAACTCAATGTCACTAACTAAGGAATGTCAGTGAATGTTACTGACTCAGGCTGATGGTCTAAAATTCGCAAAGGAACTATTACACCCACAAAACTGTGGCTCTCCTCATAACTGGTACTTGTAGATGTGTAGAGCTCCCCTTTAAAGATAGAGAAAGTTCCCCGAGAACATCTAGGCTTCCGAAATCCAGATATTGATCAGGCTTTTAAAGACTGTCCCCTCATTTACTAAAAAGACACGCTGATAAAAAACGACAGCTCACTTCAGTCTTCGAGGTTGCTTCCTCACTTTGAGGTCATTGAGTGTGCTTGTGCAGAGCCGACTGTCTACACCCCGCCTGAATGGTAACATTAATTCCTCTTACTGCTAAGACTCTCAAATTGATCGCACTGACCTACATAGCACTGCCTCCTCCCCTTTGCGATGCAGGATTATTAGTTGATAGCCTCTGGTAAATTATACGTAGGCCCATTAGCAAACACACCCATCTCTATCTCCTTGCTTCACTGGCTCAGACACTCTGTACCGGCAGGATGGCCGCCATGCCGTATTCCAAGTTTCTAAATCGATTAACATCCAGAAGGAGTAAACAGTGTCATGCCAGCATCTAGCACAGGTACACAATCTACTCAGCCTAGATGAGGGATGAGACAGCATGTAACTATGGCAACCCCTGACTTTACCTGCATCTGAGAGATCGCGTAGGGAGCTGCTGAGGGCGCTTCTCTTCAGACCTTCACCGATGGCATAGCTGTCGTCGAGGCTTGCTCGGCTCAGGTTTCCGTTTCCTGCATCCTTCTTTAACCCGGAGCTCTGGGAAATGCTAGGCCTCACCACGCCCTTCTGTTTTTCCAGCTCAGCTGTGCATGGAGAAAATACATATCTGCCATATACTCCTGGCTTCCACATATTTTCTACTGATGCGAGACAGCTGCTGATATCATCTATAAAAAAATAGGAACAATTTACTCACATTCTATCCGGTACTTCTCCATCTCTTGGACTTCTGCAATAGATTCTCGCAAATCATCAGTGAACTTTTTGCGGTCCTGAGGATTGGGTGCATTGAAGTTGATGAGGACTTTGATATCAGCTCCAGGAATGGCTGAAGTCAGGCGAACGCCATTGGGATAGTCTAAAGAATGATGAAAATAACATTTCAGACATTATACTATTGAAGTCTATTAGAGTTAGGACTGATGTTACCAGTAGGACATAATAGGATCTGAAACCAGCTGCGGGATATCAGAACTACCATCAGAGACAACAGATTTAGGATATTAAAGTATGTGTATGTGGAGTATGTGACTTAGATTATAGATATAATTCAAAGTTTCCATGATGGCAAGCTCTGAGGTTGGCTGTTATCCATCAAAAAGGAACTTTCCAATAGACTTTCCCATTGGGATTTCTGTTAAAGGAACCATGTTCTGACTTAAGTTTAAGTGCGAGAGTTTAACCTTCAAACAGTCCTTGTTTAGGAGGTTCTGTTGATGGAACATTTGGGATCTTTGACTTTGTTCATTTGTATTCTTGTATTTTCTCACTAGTGTCCACTGGCCATTTATAAGAATCTGCAACTGCAAACAGTTATTTTTTGTGCCCGCTTAGCTTTGAAAAGTCATGGAGCTACAGAGGAAGTCCTGAACTGTCTAGGAAGTTTTTGCATAGAAAGGCATCAAACCGGATTTTCAAGCATGACTTTTGTTGGTGCTATATAAATAAAAATGAATCAAATGAAATGAAATTTGACACAACAGCCTACAATGAGAAAGTCAGCTTTAACATTCGTAATAATAATTTAAAAAGATGCAGTTTAAAAGTAATAGTTTCTTAAAATGTCCGCTAATCAATTTGCGTTATGAGATCAGATCAAAAACAGGGCTGAAGAAACTTGTGGTTCCCTAACATTAGTTCCTAGAACTAAGGGGTCTGGGGACTCTCAGTGGACACACATCTATAACACAGTGAGTGCTTCATGCAAATACTACTTACACTGATTCTCAAAGAGGAGGACTTGCATGCCATAAAGAGAGAAGGACTGTCGAAAGCTGTATGTCACAGAATTCTTTTTCTTCTGGAAGATTTTTGTAACCTGTGAAAAAAGCAAAGCACACACTCTTTTTAAGACTCTTTTACTCTAAAACAGAGTTTGTTCTCTTTTTACTGAAAGTAACATCTGCCGTACCACTAGCAAGTCATTGAAAAGGAAGATCTCCCTTTGGTGCAGGCCCAACTTTTGAGGTTTGTTGGGGTCGGGCACTTCAAAAAGTCTGCAGTAACAGACCAGTCTCCGGTGGGGTAGAGATAGCACCTGCACAATACAATACAGTATAATTTCTTATTCTGTCTCTTGGTGCTTCACAGAGAGCTTTCAAACATGCTGCTTCAAACTTTATGCCTCATACAGCCTTGAGGAATAACAGAAAAATCCCACTCAGTGCTAATATGAAAATAATTGAAAGGAAATACTTACACAGCCAAGACCATGATGTAAAGAGCCAATCTAAGGAGTAAGAAATCAAACAAAACACATTTCAGAGCTTGAGGGACACATGTGAAAATGTATGAAACAAGAATGATAAGAAGTTTCAAGCAATGTTTAAGACCAAATTAAAAACCAAAACAGTTTTACGGATGACAGAACCACGCTGCCAGAGTCCTTCACTTTCCTCTTTTCCGACTCCGTCCCCCATAATGGTCATGACATCATAAGGATCATCTCTCAGGTATCGACTCACAGAAGGAGTAGTTTTCAAATAAACGGCTTCAAGATCATTATGAGCGAGGCTGTTTATCTCATTTTTACACAGCTTGTTAGCTCAGACTTTTCTTGTGGTTGGTACTCAGGGCAAACAATATACTGCAGTAATTCACAATGGTATAGTAGCCCTGAAGAGTCACACGGTGAAGAAAGTTGGCCATGAATTAACCATCACACTATAGCAGCTCAGAGGCACACTGGGTAATTTAGTGTTAATGCTCCTGCTTGGATTCAGCTCTTGAGTGGAGGTTTTTAAAAGAAAAGGAGTTACACTTCACATGTAGCTGTCCAAGGTCAAACTCCAACTTACTGGCTTTTTTCCAACGATTAGCTTTTCCACTTTCTGAACCTGGGAAACGTGGTCTTCATTAGTCTTGAGCTCCCGCTTGCGAATCCGTTCGTATATCCCTACGAGCATCTCTCGGGGGATGTCCTCCCCATCATCGACTCCTGCCGGGGGATAAGAGGAAAAGAGAAATAGAGAAAAAAAGAGGGATTAATGATTAAATTGCAGATTTATGCAAGCCAAACCTCTAAATATACTTACTTGCTGCATTGCTTATGTATCTCAAAATGCATACAGAAATGTCCTTCAAAGCTCTTTGTGGACAAGTATTTTCTCCTCCATTCAATACTGTACTTTAATTACAGACACTTCAATAGGCAGAAAAATTATTCAGTCATGCCATAAAGCCATTTCCTAATACCCTCAAAATCTGTTGAGGACAACTAAAAAGTACTTTGCTTCGACAGGAAAGCTTTCTTGGCCATGACTTCCAAAAAAATAAATACCTTATTGACATGGCCATTAATCAAGGCAATGTGCATGCACAAAACTCAATTTTAAGATGAATATTTATCCTCAGAGAAACAGTAATGTGTCAGGGGAATACTGGTTTTGTGACAGAACGTTGGATGTGGTGCAGTGAGGGAGAACAAAGTACCTCTAAGGTTCTTAACAAAGTCCTCCAGCTTCATCTTCCTCTCAGGCTTGACGTTGGGGCTGTACATGTCAGTGTTGAGGAGGATGATTGCAAAGGCAAGGATGAAGATGGTGTCGGGGTTCCTGAATTGTCGCACCACACCGGGGTTGCAGATGCAGTAACGCTGGCTGGGAAGAATATGTAAGGAGCAGAAACTGAATGCAAAAATCATTGTTCTGATAAAAACAATATGTGTGTAAATTAATATTTGGGCCATTAATCCACCTATATTTACCCCTAACAGACAAAAGCAAAACTATTTACTTTAATAGCACAACTGTGCTATCAAAGTACAGCCATTGCTAATTGTAGCTAGATAAACTAATATATTAACAGAGCTATTGTATGTATTATAAGAATTTACTATGATGTCTTTACATAGTCTACATCTAAATATAAGCATTACATTAAATGCATCAGTACTGACTAACGTACAGTAGGTGACAATATGCTAAAATTAGCACGCTAGACTAATTAGCTCATTTAGACTACCCAAAGACTTGAGACCTGAGCCAGTTTCTAAAAATGACCTTAATGCTACTGAAATAACACAAATAATATTACATCAATTTCACTTTGACTTATGTTAGATGCATTCTGGAAAGTTACAATGCAATGTTTTGCTTGAACATGGGAGCTAGTTGATAAGAAGGCATCAGTAAGACAACTTACTGGCAAAGTAAAGGTGTAAGCTTCCCTGTAAGCAATTAGTTCGGGGCATAGGTATCAATGCTTCACCTGATATTAATATTGAGCTCTCTGCTATCTGTTCTGCAGTCAAAGAAATAATGTGCAAGTACAGTAACATCTGTCAATACAGCCTCCATGTATTACACGGGCAATTTCTGAACCACCACAAAGGGAGCTTGTACTCATATCTGGATATGGCTGCAGGTGAGCACCAGATGAGCAGTCATCACTATCTCCCCTGTAACTGTGCTGTTTACTGAGGCCGAAATGTCCTTGCTCACTGCTGATCGAAGCGAATTCTCTATGCACACGAGGGCACCTTTTCTGCTGGAAGTTTTGGAAAAGTAAATGAGGCACAAACAACATCTATCAGCAGCCCTGAGGGAGGTATTCCTTCACTCTTTGAACTAATTTTCTCTAAATCATTTTCTACAATGCCTTGGTCGAACAAAAGTTTGGATTTGAAATGGCTTTGCACCGCTCTATTGCTTTCTGCTCGCGACCGTTACATTTAGACTTTTTGGTGTCACCTTTGTTTTAGAGGATAATGGTGTTGTTGAAATTGAGCAAAGCTGGTTTGTGCTATCCATTAATCATACACGCTATATTGGTGGTAAATACTAGACACGGCAATGAACCCCATAATGACCATCCTGTCACATAATCAGTTAGTCTAAATTGATGTATGACCCTATTTGCAAAAACATCATTTTACACCTCCTTTCTACAGAAAGGCACATGAAGTGGTTTAGATTTAAGCTACCTACATTGGTTTGGGAACTAAAGCCATGGTTTTGCACCCAACTTTTAAGAGCATGCCTTACCTGAAGGCCTCTATCAGTCGCTCTACCTTCTGTGCTTCCCCTTGGACTCTGATGTGTGCCTGGAATTTCCTGAGCGCTTCATCCAGCTCCATAGCTGAGAAGTCCATTTCATCCACTACGCAGCTGGTGAAAAACACACGAATTCACAGTGAGCAGGAAGTTTGGGAGTGTAACAAGCACCTGCCAGTTCAACTGAGAATATTTTAGAAGTTGTTGGGGTTTTTTTGGCTACGTAGGTGAAGAACAGTTGCAGAAGTTTAAGATTAAGGATGACTACAAACTTGGCTGTTGTCAGTGAGTAAGCTGATCTGCTGTTGATTTTTCAGATTATATGCAGGACATGAAAGGGAGCAAGAGTTTTTCTGCTCACTTGACACTTACGTAAAGGAAATGTTCATTTCTTCCTCTGCTGAGAAGAGGATTGTGACTCAGCACTCCGGAGCAGTGATACCTTGCATGTCTGGATTTATAGACATTTTCTCAAGGAGCCCTTTAGTTATGCCTGTCAAACTGACACCAGCGGACCTTTTCTGGCCTTATCCTCCAATGAATCTCAATAGGCTCTGACAGAGCTGGTGTATTTCAAGTGGGTCTAAGATAAGTCTGTGCAATCTAAAGCACGAGGCACTATTGGAATGATACAAAGGAGTGGAGAGTAGACAATCTATACGACTGCTCTCTCATATCAAAAAACCTGGAAACTATAAAGAGGATCTGTATGTTTATCTGAGCATCATGGCAATTTCCTGAGTGGATTCCATTTCTGCTTATTTCCTGCATGTAACTTGAGTCATTATATAGTCCTTAGACAGTGTGAATGAGGGTAAATTACAAACTGCCAACCTTATGTGCAACTAAATGATGATTTATATTTATGTTCCCAGGAGGCAAATAAACTAACATTCTGTGCACTGGCATAGTTGGCAACTTAAATCAAAAGCCTGAAATGATTTATCCTCAAATACAAATATTCCAAAAGAGTACACCGGCATGATCTGCTGCAGACTCACTCGAGGACATCCCGGTTGAACTGTTTCTGCCGATTACCCAGGAACTCGCCAATCATCTGCCTACTCAAGCCTTTCCTCTGGAGCAGGAAGTGGGCCACACCCACCGGAGTGTCTGGAACAAAGTTTCGCTCTATCAGATACTGAATGCCTTTTTCTGGCTTCCTAGAGACACAGGAAAGAGTAGAGAAAGAGAGACCAAAAAAGAAAGAGGCAAAATGAGAGTGGGTGAGGACACATTCCAAATCTGTGATTATCCCATTGCGCTCCTAACCCGGCCAAATGTGTGTCGCATGAGGGACAGGACGTAGGGAAGCCAGGAGAGAGTTACAACTCTCTACGGTGTTGATCACAAATGATTAAAAGGCATTTTATAGCGGGCTCAGAAAGAAACCAAATCCACAATCAGCAATGATTAAACAGATTCAGCCGGGCTCAAACGAACTGGAGCAGAATGAGTTTGAAGCTTGCTTGCACTTTACGCAGAACAGGCAGAGATAGTTCTTGTTCCAAACAACTTCATTGCATTTTAATGTGAGGTTCATTTCGAGTTTCTAAGACAAAACAAACAAAAAAATCCCATTTTGTAAGTCATGTGAAATGAACTGCATCGAATTTGAACAAGCCAAAGAGTGTGAATGTATCATGTGTTAAGTGACGTTCTATCGTGTGGACGTACTTGTTGAAGAGATTTAGGCCAATGCGGTAATGCCTCTTGCGAATGATGTCATTGCTGAATGCAGGTGAGTCCCAGCTGTTGCGAGTTTCTTTGTGGTACGTCTGCTTGCTGAGCGTCTGTTCACGCAGGCTGTCCCTGGACGAGGATTCAGAACTACAATTGATGGTATCGTTGGAGTTCGATGTGCTGTTAATGCTGTCATTGTCGCCATCTGAGAAATCCGACTCTGACTTGCTCTGCCGGTTTGCTGTACCATTGATTGCCAGATGGGCCTCCAGCTGTCGCGATCGATGTCGGGAAGTGTCTTCTTCTCTGGAAGGCCCTCGAGGTGGCAGGCTGTGGCTGACTTGTTTAGGGCTACTCTGCTGGTTGCTGATGCTTCGTTCGTAGGCATTCTGTCTCTTTAAAGAGCTGCGGTCAGAACGATCACTCAGCTCCACTGAGCTATCACTGGGAGGCTCTATGGTCAATAAGGGTAGGTGATCTACCCGTAGACGTTGCTCTTGGCATTCCAAGGAGGGTGTACTGCGGCAGCTGGTATCGGTGTCCCCTTTTTCATCCTTATGAGCAAGAGACCAATAATCTTGTGAGGAGTTGAGCGAACGCTGGCGCAAGTCTGATTCTGTGCTTGAGGGCCGGTCTACAGACTGAGAAAGAGGAAGGGGTGGTGATAACTCCTCTTCGTCGATGTACAGGGTGACATCGCTGTAAGACGCTGTCATCTCATCGAGTTTACGGTGTTCTGAGGCGCTGTGGGAGGGTTTCACCTGACAGGTGACCTCTCTGTCCATATCCTGGAGGCCTCTCCCTGGCTCTGACTGACTGTCTTCACCATGTAGGCTGCGGCAGTTCAGAGCATCATCTATGGACTCGGCTAGAGATTTCACCTGCCTTGAAAAGGCATCTTCTAGTTCTGTGATGGCATCTGTGAAGTCGCTCTGTGTGGTGGGGGTCTTGGCCTGCACACCCATCTCCCCGCCATGGTCTGACTGCCTTAGTGCACCAATTTTAGTGCCATCATCTGTGAGAGAGACCTGCTTTCCCTCGAAGTAGGAGCTATGGACTTTTTCAGGTCCTTCAAAGGAAAACTGCATTCTCATATTGGATAGGACGATCCGTCTGGACATACGGTTCTCAGACATAGAGCTTCTAAGACGCTCAAAGTTTTTGTTCATCTGGTATTGGCGGAAAGCTGTCTGTATGGTGCGGGCAGCATGCCGGGTTATGAAACGCCCACCATATTTGCGCTCTAGCATCTCCACCTGTAGGGAAAGGAGGGGAATTTGAGAGAAATGAAAACGTATTGGAAACATGGGAACACTTTCCTCAATAGTCCCTTTAGACGTGTTCTTACGAGACTTGAGACTTGCAAAAGCATCCTACAATGGTACAACCGAAGCAAAAAACAAAAAACTAAACAAAAATAAGAAAACCCAGAAAGCTAATTTCCTGAGCTCTCTGGCAAAATATATTTGTCTGACACACAAAAAACATCGTTATGATAAAGATGGTTCATCTATGATCACACAGTCTAATTAAAGAGACTTGACCACATTATTTTTAAGAGATGCTAACACCAATAACTAAACAAGCTTTGTTCACTGAATGAAGCCTTGGGAGTAACAGCTGAAAGCTCTGAAAAAACTAGCAAGGATTCTAATCACTCTGTCCAAAACACAACAAAATGTGTGTCTGTACACCACAGCCTGTAAGCACAATAGGTACAGGTGGCTTGTTTTATGAGAAACAGTACATTTTCTAACTGTATGACCACTTTAGTTCATTAGCATAAATGTAAGATAACCAGAAACTGCTTTTTTCTCTGAAACTGAAAAGAACAAATCCTACTGAATCATTGCAGTGCTTGAGAGAAACAGTATCCTGTCTTGTATTCTGTATATGACTATACTGAAAAGTCTCAAACTATATGCCTCTAATTAGAATAATGTCAGGGCTGAATTGCATTGTCCCCCTCTCATTCCCGTACCGCTTACACTGACCTGGTTTCCACCTATGGACTCATGGGGGTAAAAAATGACACTAAATCTATACCACTTCTGTATGGGACGGCCAAGGAGGCGAGTGGGTTTATACTTGCCACAAATGGAACATGACAGGAAGTTTCAATGCAAGAGGTTAAGCAGTGACAAAAGGATTAAGCGGTGATATCATTTCCTATCGATAATGTTTTACTAATATAGATGTCATACAGATGCTATTTATTATTGAAACACTATTATTTTGAAACAATGACAGTTTGACGTGTCATGTGATAAATAACTCAGAAGAGCATTTAGCTACATTTGACAGTGTGCTTAGTAACTCTGGTCTTTCTGGTTCATTCTAAGTTCTTAGTGCTTTCCTGTGGGCTTCAGATATGTGAAACTATAGAAGTAATAAATAAATGCAAACAGACTCTAGATACTCTATATAAACAAACTATGCTGTGAGTCTGTTTGGATGGCACACAACCAGAGCTAAGGAGGGAATGATGCTCTCTACTGGGGTCACCAAAGTCACTAGATGATCTTTTATGTAGTTCTTCTAAAGGCCATGCACATATTTTCCTGTCATGTCCTTATACAAGAGTCTCAAATTCTACTCAGCAACACACTTTAATGCCTAGTTGCCTGCTTTTTCTTTGGGCTTGCTTACAGATAATACATTGTATGGTTTCCACTACCCATAGTCCTCTCCATGTTGTGGTCAAGCCACAACCTCTGAGGCTGAACAATGAAGTCAACTTTAAAATGCCAAAAACTTCAGTTCCTCTAATGAGTACTTGAGGATGGTAGCAAATCTCAATATACGCTCAACTTACTCCTATTTAAGTCACTGAACAGGACCCTTTGACTGTGTTGATGCCTAATTTTGCTGCTAATTAAGTTATTAGTGTCCTCTGGAAAAAATGGAGGGATTCACTGTCATGTGGAGCCTTAGTACATGGCTGAAGACCAAGCAAACCATCCATGCCTACTACTGCTGGAAAAAGAAATGACTCTGACTATGAATTTTTTATGTGTTGAAAGCCTGTAACAGTCTGCACGGCCCTAAATACACATTACAAACTAACTGGACTTCCAAACTAGAAGGACTTGATGCACCACATCAGATATCATGGGGTGTAAAGCTAATAGATAATGGTGGGCAGCAAACTAATGAAAACATTATAAGAATACAATACAACAGGTTGCAATTTTTTTTAATGTTGACAGAAGTTTTGTTTTTATACTTTCAGAATGAATCAGTCAGAAAGTGAAAAATGGAAAAACCTTGGCAGGGAACTGCAGTTTTGGCTAATAATTCTCCTTTGATGTGCCACAAAAAACTAGGATCTACTACACATCTGCTCATAATGCCTCTGTGTTCAAGCTACTCATTACTCTAAGTTTTAACAAATGTAAGTTAGTGTGGCCCTTTCCCGTCTCACCTGCTTGTCCTGTAGGTCAGATGAGAGCTCATAGCTCTCTGACAGCGAGCGGGAGCGCTTGATTGCCTCCTCTTCTGCTTGCTTGCGGAGGATGGACTGAGAGTGCTGAAGCTTGGGCCGTCTGGGCCGTGGGTGGCCTGGCAGCAAGATGTGCCCGTAGAGCTGGCTGTCCAGGTGGTCGGGGCCGAGCCCGCCGCTGTGGGTCACTGGGACACAACTGTAGCCACCACTAGGGTCCACAGAAGCTCCCACTTCAGTTCCTGGAGCATCACCTTCCACACTGCGGCACACAAACACACAGAGAGCACACCAAGTTAGTCTGCTTAGTCATTTTCCTGAGTGCACACACTCCCTTGTGTGTGTCAGCACAGAGCACGTGACAGATGGAAAAAGTGAACTTTGATACTGCTGGCAGGGTATAAATGCGAGCGAGTGAATTTATAGCAGCAGTCAGTGTGCAGCCTGTCGTCTTTACACATTCTCTTTACAGAGCAGGAAAAACCTCAGGCTATCCCAAGCAGCCGTACGAGCGAGGCACTATGTCTTAATTAAAACAAATGAAATGACTGTGAATAAAAGCTGACTGTTAAAGACACACTTTAACTCCACCGATGCTGAAATTACCACAACATTATCAGAAACCCAATCTTACTATAAACAAAGGGGCACCATGTCAGAACTGATTAAAGCATGGGAAGTAGTGCCTTGAATATTGAGATCAATACAGACCTTTGTTCTCTCACAGAAGTTCAAACATCAGTTTGGATAAACTGGCAATGACCGACCGGCTCGTTCCAGACTATAGATCGGTTCTCCCAGCATACAGCTGGTCTCCACACATCTTACACTGTTGTGATTTCCTACCATATATTTGGTTCTCAAAGTCAGCTCCATAAGTATTCCTGTAAAGAATCAAAGATTCTGCCTTACAGGACTGATCTGACTGCTTTTTGAATGTTTGACGTGGTGAGATCTTCCTCTCCACTGACAAATGTTTGATTTAAGAAACTTTTTCTTTGTACAAGACTGGATGTCAATGTAAGGACATTAAATGCTTATGAGACTGCAGATAAACATTTTAGTCAAAAGTGTGAAATTCCATGAAAAAGGAAGGAAGCTGAAATGAGGATTGCTGACGATAGAAAAAAAAGATGGCAACTGAATCTATCATGAATCAAAGTGAATCTACACTTCCTCCCTCCCAATAGTTGCAAATCATTTTTTGCTCATTTACGGCTTATACTATCCACTGCTATCTACACACTTAAAACACAAAGTATAGAGTTGCAGGTGACAGCAGCGTGTCGGTCATACAGCTGGACAGCTGTGTGGCTCACTTTAAAGTTGCTATCGGCAGGCTTCCTTTTACTTCTCTTTTTACTTCTTCATTTTGGAATAAATGTTCATTTCACAATGTAGTGGCTATAATAATGAGAACATGCGTGTTCCCTATCAGTCACACATTTACTATGCAATTCTGTTTATCACCTTGTATGATGATGATGGCTACCAAAACAGGAAGAGCATATCTACTGGGAACTTACCATAAGGAGCTGAAATACTAATGGCAGAGACAAAATTAAAGGAAACCTGTTAGCCTAATACAGGTGTTTAAAAAAGACGTTTGGCTAGCTTTGATGGGTATTCTAATGACTTACAGCTGGGAGACATGACTTTAGGTCCACGACATGAATCATCCTTTAAACTCTACATCCTTTAAACTAGCATTACTACTTAAGCATTACTGCAACTACTAAAGGTTCATTAGCTTGCATGCCCCTTTGCAATCCCCCTCCACCCCAGCTGATTCATGTCACTGATTCCTGCTCTGTTCTGCACTGGGTCTTGCTGATGCTCTTACTCTATGGTGTTCCATGTATGCACATGTGTGGAGATCCCAGAACAGAGCTACACAGCCAAATATAAATGACAGCAGATGAAATAGCTGCCTCTCTTTAAATGCCGTGGTTTTGATTGAACTGCAAATACAGTCCAACAAAAGGTGACTGCTGATATGTTCACAGTGGAATGTTTGTCATGCATGCAGTTGGTTTGCTTTCTGCACATGCCATTTTCCCGTGAATGAAGTCATGGAATTATTTGTTGCAAAAACAACAAGAAGGAGATCACACTGAAGCAATTGGTGAACACCTCAGGTTGGTGGCCTCTTAATATGCAGTGAAGTGGGGATAATAATCATGGTGCACAACTACACTTGTATCTTTTGTTGTAGTTCTCACATATGAGTCTGAGTTGCTCTTCAGTACTAATCATTTAGACAGCAACCACTGGAGACAGCTTAACTGAATTTTTGTGTCTACATTGTTTTGTGAAAGATATCAATCAACACTACAAGAACAGGTATAATATAGTACAACTCCAATTGCTACTTCCTATTAGTGTAAGCCGTCAACTGCGGTCGAGCTCACTTCTAAATTAGGCAGAACACTACATTAAATTGCTAATCAACAAAAAAAAAAAAGACACGCCTATCATTAAGGCTGGCTGCGAACCCCTCTGTTCACCACCACCATCTAAGAACCACATGTGGTATATATCATGACTTTTTTTTGGTTTATTTGGTGAGGTCTCACTTTGGGGAGGCCTGAAAAATAGATTAGCCTAGAGCTTGGCCTCTGACCATTGATGTGTTTTGGCTCAAGTGGGGTACTTAAAGGACAGCCCAGCTGCTTATACATAGTGTGTAGGCATATTTCTGTATGTGGAGAACTGCTGTTTAAGAAACTCTGTGGTATCAGTGCAGAAGAATGGGATGCAACATTTGTTCCCCAATTCTTGATATTTTGGTTTATTATGGTTGTTACTCTTCATCTGCATCTCCTAAACAATTATTTCTGCATGACAGACTCTCTTTTTCGGCCCTCAGGAAGCAAATTTACAAGTCCACCAGCAACCAGCAACCAGGCTGAGACATCACACAAATCAGAAAGTTTCCAATAGCTTCATGTGCAATCGTGATTTGTAAAAGATCACACCAACTACTGCACTGGCATGAGGAGTGAGACATCCAGAAACACTTAGCAGATATGCTTTTCATTATCAAATAATTTCACACAGCAGTACACAACGGCAATGTCAGAAAAAACAAGGCATCCATGTTGCAGGATGTTGGCCTATTGTTGGCTGTGTACCATCTGACCTGAACAGTCAGTCAGAGACAGAAATGTGTCAGTGCTTCATCAAGCCAGGACGTGATGGGGTCTGACTTTAAAAACAATGCATAATCAGTTTGACCAGATTTCAGCAGTTTTCTCTTAAAACAAAAATGTTCCTTTTGTCATCAGTGTGATGGGTGAGGTGGAAAGGCTCATCTCTGTGGGAGAATGTGTCAAAATTAGATAATAAAGGGTGAAGTAAAAGTTTGAACAGGAAAGAGATTTGACATCCAGGATAGGGTCAAAGCGGTAGACTAATGATTCCTGTCATCATTCTGAAGAGGATGATATTTAAATGGGGCTACATTCACATAAGTTAGACTTCTGCTGAGAAATATGACATATCAAAGCAAAACAGCTACATTTTTTGTTGGTGGTGTCCTGAGATAAATCTGAAAAATGATTCATTTGTTCAGATGCTCTAAAGAACCAAATGTGTGTTCATCTCCACACTGGGAGGTGTCCGCTCTACTCTGACCCACACAATCTGAGAAGTCCATTTCTAACATTTGTTTGTGCAATTTTATTCTTTCAGTCTAGTCTTTGGACAAATTCCAATTTGGTTCCAATAATGCTTCGCTGACATGGAAACCTTTCTACTCCTGTCCTTGCATGGTTAGTATGGAGTTTAAACAACTCTGAAAAACAGCTGTGGTGTAACTTCTCCTGAAACCACAAACTACTGTGTTCCTGTTTTGCTCTGTGTAAAACATTTAAACAAAAAAAAAAGAAAAAGGGTTGTGTTAGTTTGTGAACTTTGAGATGAGTGAGTCGACAGATATTTAAACACTGAGAGGAGCTACGTTAACTATTTCTCCCTTCTTCAAAACTTTAAGCTCAAGTTTGTACTGGGGAAAAAAAAATGTGCCTAAAATTAACAATAGCTTAGTAGTGGCATTTAGAACAAATTTGGAAGGCCACACATTCCCGTGGGATACTTTGCAATAATGTTTATTTGGCCAAGTCACTGTAATGAACGACAGTTTCTCTGTCACGTGATAACATCTCTCATTAGAGAAAACGTCCCCGCTCTCCAAGCTGGACACTCATGCTCATTTTAAAACCACTTTCAGCATTTTCATTCCCTTCCCTGTGCACCCTCAACACATTTTTAATTTTTAAAGGAACTAATCTAATCAGACAGAGAGAGCCCTTTAATTAGACTGAAGGGCGGGCCATAATACATCTGCTCCAGCAGAGGAAGTTTAATTGGAAATATCAATTCCGTTAGACGGAAGAAGAGCTTGGCATGCTCGAAATGTGGCACCAAACTCAAACCACTTACAGCATGCTGATGTCTTCAGTTAGCTGGTTATGTTGCATGAGAATGACTGAAGAGTATGTTGCTTATATTTCAACATATATGAAGTAGTACCCCAGCAGTCAGAGAGGGAGAGAGAGATTTGTTCAGAGCAGGAAGAATGAGTGTGACAGGTTTTAGAAAACGCAAAAGGATCTCCTTCCTAGATAGCTGCAGTCTTCATACAGTAGTACTGTATGGGTGCATATTAAAATAGAGGTTATGCATGTAGCCAATTAACTAGCAAACTTCTAAAAAGAATGTAACTACATATTGTTGCTAAAGAGATATCATAAAGATGCTGGAAGAACTGGGATTGGCACCTCCAATGTTTGAGATGCTGATGGAGGTAATTCCACTACCGCAGTTTGGTACGTGTTTGGATCAGTGCTGGACCACAAACTGAGGTGCAGCAGCGACTGTGGGGAGCATGACTGAAGCAGGAAGTACCCGGATCACTGATATTTGTTTAAGCTAAGTGTATCAGTGTTACCGTGTTGGGACTCCACTTGTGTTAACTATAATCTGGCTTCAACCTAACACACTGCTACAGCTTCCAAAATGTCAGCCAGTTGAATAATTGAACTGCTTTCATAAGAGTAGCTCTTTCTATTTCACTTATCCTGTTAGCAGTGGAACATTTCAGCCTTACATCTGAACACCCCGCTCATATTTTAGTGATTGACAGCCATCTTATTACTACATTAGACCGAGTAACATTTCTGAATGAGTTTCAGTGCAGAACAAACACGAATGCAGTTGACAACTGACAAACGCCTAACAGCCACGTGACAGAGCCTAATC